TAAAACCACATTAAAGCCTTATCAAAAATTTTTTGCCCCCCCCCCTAGAAAGTTAATCGATTTTTTTGCCCCCCCCCCCCCAGAAAGTTTTCTGCGGGCGCCCATGGATGGGAGAATCTATTACCCTTAACCTCATCACCCTTAATAATGCCCTCCGTAAAATAACAGCAATTTCCGTCCATCCTGTAAGTTACCTTAACAACAATGGAGTTCTGTCCTGTACCCCCGCCCCAGTCATTTGTGACAAGTAGAATGCAGTGGTCTTTAGGCTAAATATTACTGTTGTAATCTGCCGCAGTGAGTTCGTTTGTGAAAGCACACAGCAACAGTATGACGAAGAACATTTAAAGCCTTTCAAAATAACTACAAGTCACAGATTTCACAGATATTTGGGAGACGGTTGGTTATATTAGATGTATTAATAGGCTATTATGGACTGTCAGAATTTTAGAATTATTGCAAAATGTATGCATTAATGTACGTATACTACGTACACATTCTGCCGAGATGCCTCCCTATCCCTACAACTCTCCTAAATCTCCTATACACCCCTTTTATTTGGATGGTCAAATTCTGGATCTCTCTTCCCCCCTTTCTAGAAGTTTGAGGACAGGGGCTATCAGCAGTTAAGCAACAGTGGTACTAGAGATGGGAAATCGGCTGACGAAGGAAAACTGGAACATCTAAAAGAGGGTTCAATTCCCATCTCCAAGAAGTACCAGAGCAGAATTAAGACACCTGGGGCCCCTAGGCAGTCGAAATCTCAGGACTCCAAAAAAAAAATTAAAATTAAAAATTACATATAAGTAGATACCATACAATTTAAAAAGTGAATGTAGGTACTAGTCCCAGTTAGGGGGCGTCCATTTATCATGTCAACGAAATAGGTAGAGGGAGGAGGTTTGGAAATGTTTGACAGTGGTTGAAAAGGGGGAGGCGGCGGTAGATTCGTTGACATCAACAATCATGTTTTCTCTATTAAAATTTTAATCTTAAAAATTGACTGGTTATTACATTATTTTATACAAAATTTAATGAGTGTAAATAGTCTTATAATTTTTAGGCGTTTAACAATATAAGATGTATTTAATGTGTGTCTGTCTGTGCATTGTTGATGGCTGGTCAGAATGTTAGCACACTTTGTTAGTAAAAGAGAAGTCAAAAGTTGCCTCTCTTTGACTGTGATTCTATTTGTCGCAAATGACTAGGGTAGTATGTTTGCGGTCATATTGCAGGTATGGAACAAGGACAAGGTTCAAGTGTCATGTGCAGTCAAGATATATGGTATTGATAGGGTAGGAATATGATATTTTGAGAATTAGGGCAAAATAAAGTGAGTAACAATTATAACAATTGAATGGATTTGCAAAATCTATAACATCTATTTGCAACTCAAGTCATGTTAAAAAAAACAAACATGTTCAACAGCCCCAACAATTCCCTCTTGAGCATAAGAAATTAACACATGTTCCTCAGCAAAAAAGGATTCGACTAATGCGAGTAGCTCCAAGGAGATAGAGAGAGCTTATGACAATTATTGCTCACACCGAAAATGCTTCGATTTTAAGTGCTGAATGGTTAGATGAGGATGATGTTGACTTGATTGGTATATCAGTTCCGCAAGAGGAAAGTGATAATCAGCTACTATAGACTATGCCCATTAGGGGCATCATTTCAGGTGTTTTTTTTCAGGGGTGGGGGTGGAGGGGGGACGGACCAAAACTTGGTCTGCTTGTTAAGTTGTTTATTACTGAAGGCGCCACAGTACATGGCGATTTAAATAAAAACCTGCAAATGCGGTTTGGGGGGGTGGTGGAGGGGGGACGGACCAAAACTTGGTCTGCTTGTTAAGTTGTTTATTACTGAAGGCGCCACAGTACATGGCGATTTAAATAAAAACCTGCAAATGCGGTTTGGGGGGGGGGGGATTTGTGGCGGTTTGGATGGGGACAAAAAAACTGACAAATTTAGCGTGACGTAATAACTGGATCATGCTGGATGGGCCACGACCTAATCTAGTGGGTTATGGATGGGCCCCCTATTGCAAACTGGCCGAAATCTTTCATAAATAAGTACAATTGCTGTTGCAAAGTATGACACCACATTGGTTAATATTTAAAAAAAATGGATACATAAAAAAAAAATAAAAAAGCCAACGCATTTAGTGGGTAATTATCACCATTCGTTATTATTATTTTGAGGGTTATTTTTGTTTATATCATGTGACCGGTATTCGCAGGTGGTGGACCAATACTGTCACTGGCCTATCTATATATTTTATTCGATCTCTTGTTTAGACAAGAGAATTTAGACAAGCAACTACTTATACTTGCATAGCCAATACCATTTTTCAAATTATTATTTAAAAAAAAAATATTAACAATGAACATTAAATCGTGTTACAATGTTTATAAATGCTCAAAAATTATACGTATGGGTAGAAGTAGCGTATCACATTGGTTATTCGAACATAATTATTGATATTTTAATTTTATACGAATTGTGAGACTATAACTAAAATTAATGAGGCCTCTGACTCTGTGGGTAGGATTTGCGTTCAAGATAAAATTGAAATGTAATAGCTAGCGATTTAGCCACTACTCCTATTCGATTATGTTTATTCTGATAAATTTTAAATACATGCCAGAGAATCGAAATCGTCCATAAATTTCATGTGATTAGCCGCCATGTCACCCGAAAGTAAAAATATATAACGAAACGAAACTATTAGTGTAAATTTTTAGGGTATTTTCTACATTTACAATAGTCTCAGGATTCGCTGACTGAAACTTATTTTTGGGCTACTTTCTTCGTAATTTATTCAGTTATAGGTAATGAGTAAGACTATATTAGTTTTATTTACATCTAGCGGACACATTTACTAGTACTGATGTTTTTCTGCTATGCAAGCTTCACAGATCAAACAGCAACTTATTGAGATATTCAAACAAAATTAGTTATAGTTTTCGCGAATTTATGCCCCGCCCCCATCCATTCTGAGCTTTTCGTCCCCTCTTCCCCATCCTGTTTCTTTTGCTTTTAACTGTTGAATCAATAATTTTACCAACGGCAGATTTACGAAGTCGAACGGCTTGCATAGTTAGCTTTTTCCGGTGACTCATCATCCAGTGTTTACTGATTTTCTTTCTGTTTTAATTAACACTTATTAAAACATATTATTATCGTTATTCGTTAGACTTCCCTGACCAGTGTGGGGGACTGTTTCAGTTTTAGATTCAAGTCTCGATTAGTAAATTAGTTAAAATACTCTTTTACTTTTAGACTCTTTCACTTTGCCAGGGATGCTGGATGTCAGTATGTAGTATGTTGTGATTGTGAGAATGTAGTGCAGTGTAAAGTGCCCTGTAAATAGCATTAAAAGGACAAGTGCGACTAGGGCTAAGGTATAACTTTTCTAAAATGGAGAATGATTCAGAATCAATTGTCAGTTCAATAGCAGACTTCTAATTTTCTGTGTAATTTTTAATCTTGCGAGCTATTCTTCCTCTTGTTGACTCACTGTGTTAGTGCTATGGATAATATGTAGTAGTAAAGTATAGTCATAGTCTATAGTTGAAGTGTTGTTTAGCCCCTTTGAAGAGTATTTTTATTATGTACGTTTTGCAATAATAATAATGGTATGTGAAATAATATAAGATATTTTTATTTAACTAAATAAATGGATTTTTTTTTCAATCATCGAACATATTTTTTTAAGTCTTGAAAAAGTTTTTGGTTGTTCCTTAAAATGTTCCTCAGGGCACCGGTCAAATGAAAATATCACAAGGAACAGAGCACAGTAAACAAAATTACCAGCACTAACACACCCAGCGGGTGAATCTGGATAACAAGTTGACCGAGACTTGTGACTTATGCAACCTTGTCACCACATGGCATCAAGTCATGTTTCCATTCACATGATAAGCCTTTCCTCCGCCCCTCCATGTCACGACCAATCGCAGTGGACTTACTTCTCCTCTTTTCTTTCCCTTTTTTCCTGTATTTAATTTCTCACCATTTTACTGTCACAATTATTTGCTGCCCTCTCAGATACTAATTGTCATCTAACTGCTATTTAATTTAATTCTGTTTGTTTGCTGATGAAAGATTCCTGCCGACACGTTCGTTGTGTTGCTGCGTTCATTTTTTTTCAGGTTTTCCCATCCTTTATTTTCTAATTTCCTTAATCTCTTATGCATATTTTGCTTCTGGTGTGTCATGCTTCCTTTTTGAAACCGCCCTCCCCCCTACTCCACACGTTTTATATTAATAGTAATGAGTGAGAAAAAAAAAGAGGCTGTCATGTGTGATGTGTGAACTCAGGTAAAAAAATTCGTTATAAGGAGGCGACGGATTAATCAATTAAGAATTCATGGGTATAGTGTAGGACTATTGTAATTCATGGGTGTAGTGTAGGACTATTGTTTAAAGGGTGACAGAAAGGGTGGAGGTCTGTCTGTAGGCCTATTTCTCAAAATACCCGGACCCGGTGTAAAAAAACTGCACCTGATTATTAAGCCCTAGTATTTACTATTTTTTATTAAAATTCAATGTATTGTTTCTCTTTTCTAATTAATACTATGTTCCATTAGCTTGGAGATTATGTGCAAAAGTAAACATTGTTTTCCATGAAAGCAAAAAACAATTGTTAGAATGAACAAGTTTATAGTAGTAGTATGCCTTCCTAAAAAGCTTTGATTGAAAGGCTATACTTTGACAAGTTTGAATAATTCACTAATGGGAAAGCCTCTTGAAGTATTTCATCCAGACACCTTTGTAGGTAAATAGAAATAAATTGGTCAAAATTTAAATAACCTATAAAAAAAAAAAAAAGAAGTATGATTTTATTGGGTGTTATTTCTAGTATCTGCCTGGTTACTTTTTGTTTCATAAAAATGAATTCAGATTTCTAGGAAAACTTTGTTGCTATTTTTTTCTTTCTATTTGTCTCATTTTAAAATTGTTCTGTTATTTTCAGTTTCTTCTAAGCAAATAATTAAAAATTCTTGGATCTCATTTTTCTCAAATGCTGTGCTGCATAGCTTGTGAAGGTGAGTCAGTTATCAAGATTGCCTACAGATTATTTAATTTTTTATTATTATGAAAAAAAAATGTAGAACTTCTTATGGAAGTTCACTTTAAAGTAATATATTCTAATAGCGTATGCCTTGAATAAGTGAACTAATATAATGACTGAAGTATCTTTAACTAATATAATGACTGATGTATTCTCCAAATCTTGCGTTTAAAAATTATTAAGTTTTTAAAAAGTTTGTCCATATTTAAAATCCCAGCACTGTCCTTTGTGTATTTGTTATGACAACATGACTTATAAATGTATCTCTGATTATAGAGTCTAAGTCATAAGAAAATGGAAGTCTTTGCTAAATTGCGCTCAGCTAAGACTTCAAAAAGTTTGCAAAATGAGGCATCGGTACCACCCAGCAAAGAGGAGATAATCAATGTCATGGAAAGTTATGCGCCAGAAAAACCACAGGAGAAACAAGGTAGAGCTTATAATTGTATTTAGGTATAAATGATCTTTTAATTTTATTTGTTAGTCCATGTTAATAATTACAATGATTGGGATATGCTTTGTTTGTGAATTCATGTTGAAAATTGAAAAAATTTAACTTCCAATTCCAGTGTAAGAGTGCTCATCTTTGAAACAATTAAAATAAAATTTGCCAGAAAACATGATCAAAGTGCTTTTTTAAAAATTTATGTATAGTGTAATGAAAAGTTAGCATTCTGTGAGCCTACATGAAAAATCTTGAACTGAAGTTTTGCTAAAAATTTATTTAGTTGTTGGGTAACTAGAAATAACCAGCCAAACAATGACGATATCAAATCGCCGAACTTTAATCTAATAAAGCTACTTTGCAAAACTTGCATTCAGGTAACAGACTTTATAAAAAATCCCACTTTGTGCTAACTTCTGGGAAATTTAATTTGTGCCCCTGTTGCACACAAAGTTACAGCCATACATAGATACCTAGAGAATTATTATTTGTGATTTTATTAATATTCTATTTAATGATACATAAAATTTTCTTTAAATTTTATGATTTCTGAGGGAAACGTTAATGATATGGATAAGTTTGTAGATATACATACATATTTATTTATTTATATAGCTAATTTATTGATATTAATAAACTGATATTTAGATATATTTAACTATTATAAAATAAATGGATATGGATTGGTTGGTTCATAAGGGCTGCAGTATCAGTTTTTCCAGTAGATTGTGACCTAATAATTTACTTAACTCTATCAGCAGAAAACAATAATAACTCTGACCAGCTGTCCAGAGGATCAAGTTTTGACACCAGGGCTGATGGTATGGACAGTCCAGTCTTGTCTGCCAGCCTGTCTCACTCGTACAGGTAAAGGACTGATCACTTAGGTCAATCATTTGTCTCTGTCTGGCCAATCCAAATTTTCTAATGGACCCGTTTCGTCAAAGATGGCATAATGGGAGATCATTGACAAATTGGTAAATTATTAGTTTAGGGCAGGGGCTCTTAATCTGTTTGCAGCAATGCAGCCCCATCTCGATTTCAAAGCATGATTCCTGCACCCATGGTTTAAGCATCCCTAGTTGAGGGGAAATAAAGCAAGTTGTGACTTTGGCAGTATATGTACATGAATTATGAAGAAACTTACCAGCAGAAACACAGTAATGGAAATAATCATACATTTCTCATTTATTTGCTCTAGAACTGGCGGAAAAAATAAAGAGCTTTTTAAAAAAGAGAAACAAGAAATAAATTTAGTAATGGTAATGACGTTAATTCCAAATAAAACCATGATTATTGAAATTTATTTCAAACCCAATTAAAGGAGCAGATGAATTTTATGTCCACTGGCCCTAACCCTAATACCTGAAATCTAATTTTATATTCAGGCCCCTTAGTTTTAAATCAGGAAAAAATGCAACTAATATTGAACTTATCAATCAACAAACATTTTTGGCTGCACATAAACCTCATTTGTGAATATGTTTTATGTTGTCTGTCAGCACTGAATGGGAGAAACTGTTCATGACCAAAGATGTGATGAACAAACTCAAGGACAAAGCCATGGAAGGTGACTTGCGTAGCAGCAGGTTCCGAAGCTTAATTTGGAAGGTGAGGTTAATTGGTCTAGAGAGGTACTTTTTACCTGCTGTTCAAGTGATTCAGCTAAGCTTTATTTTGTTTTGTTTCTAGAAATTAAAATAATTTTGTTTACTTTATTTGGAATTAAATTAGGATTTAACGAGGCCAGTTTGAAGGATTTGTTTGATGAATAATATTGAATGGCAATGGGATTTATAAGAACTATTTAAAGGGGAGGGAACCAGACTCTCACCACCAACTTGTATTTGTCATGATGTGTTCATTTTTTATATTTAAATTCTCCTTCCATAATTTTTATAAATGTAGGGCCCATTAGTTTTGAAGTAGTTTAGCCTTTTTTTTGTTGACTCCACTATTTATCATGTGCTTGACTAGAATACAGAGAGAAGCTCAGCAGGAAAAGAGTTAAATCAAAAGACAATAGGAACATTAAAAGAACTTAGAAGACCCATGATTTCTAAAATTAATTACAAATAGACATAACTCATGCACTGTTAAACACCTTTGTTAGGTGTTCTCCCCCCCCCCCCCCCCCAAACCACCACTTTTTAAATCTTGCTCTATCTTATTTATTAGCCATTTAGTTATGTATGACACTTTTTTCCCTGTGCGTGAACTTTGCTTGAACCCTAGCACACGCTACATTCATAGATGGGTGTGGTCTATTCGTTTGATGTATCTTGTTTACTACCGGCTTCCAATTCAACATGGTTAGTAGGTCTACTAGTATCTTGTCGAAGGTTCTCGATTGTATTAGAAAAGTAAGGGCGTTTCTAGACGCGTCGGTAGACCCACATATATAAATGATTGACAGAGAAGACGGAGATTGATATTTAACTTCACGAGACGTGTATTATTCTTTGTGTACTTATATGTGTTCATTTGCATTGATCATTCATCATTATTAATTGGCACATTGTACTAACTGTGTTAACTGTGTACCGGTACAAGATCTACCATACTGTAATTTGATGATTTATAATTATATTTCTTTTGTTTCGTGATTGTATTATTACTAAATTAAATCTTACTAATTGTAATTGGCAACTGTTTTGGGTGTCGTATTTTTTGTAATTGAATTTCTCTATGGTATCATCCTTTGTTAGGCACCGTTTGAATGAGCCATAAATTTAAAATAGGAGATTAATTTCTCACAATAGAAGGCAGTGCATAACACATTTATTTATTATTTAATTGTATGTGGACAGCGTGAAGCCTGCATATAACAAGAAATATAAACTGTAAAGGATTGTTGGTTGGAAGCAGAGGATGAAGACTTAAATGGAGAACAAAATGACTTAACTTTTATCTCACTGCAAGTGGTTGACTTGTTTTAATCTGTCAATAATCATTTATTTCCGCCACTCNTAAGTGTTCAGGTGATTAGAACTGATGCTAAGTGTTCAGGTGATTAGAACTGATGCTAAGTGTTCAGGTGATTAGAACTGATGCTAAGTGTTCAGGTGATTAGAACTGATGCTAAGTGTTCAGGTGATTAGAACTGATGCTAAGTGTTCAGGTGATTAGAACTGATGCTAAGTGTTCAGGTGATTAGAACTGATGCTAAGTGTTCAGGTGATTAGAACTGATGCTAAGTGTTCAGGTGATTAGTGCTGATGCTAAGTGTTCAGGTGATTAGTACTGATGCTAAGTGTTCAGGTGATTAGTACTTATGCTAAGTGTTCAGGTGATTAGTGCTGATGCTAAGTGTTCAGGTGATTAGTACTGATGCTAAGTGTTCAGATGATTAGTACTGATGCTAAGTGTTCAGGTGATTAGTGCTGATGCTAAGTGTTCAGGTGATTAGTGCTGATGCTAAGTGTTCAGGTGATTAGTACTGATGCTAAGTGTTCAGGTGATTAGTACTGATGCTAAGTGTTCAGGTGATTAGTGCTGATGCTAAGTGTTCAGGTGATTAGTACTGATGCTAAGTGTTCAGGTGATTAGTACTGATGCTAAGTGTTCAGGTGATTAGTGCTGATGCTAAGTGTTCAGGTGAGTAAAAATGAGTTCTGACTATCCAGCATCATTGTTGTAACATTAGAAAACAGATAACCCTGAAGTATCTGAAAAAGGTGTTGAATCACAGACTCTCATTTCACTGTCCTTTGTTCATGGAAAATATTAATGTCTGGGAGTGTGGGCTGATTACAAATCTGGAATAAACAACTCGCTAAAGCTTTTACATGGAAGTTAATGATTTTTGTTAATTTTTAATTTAAAAAATCTCTTTTAAAGTACACAATGTAGATTTTTTATAAAAGCAAAGAAGTGTCTATTCTTGAACTATGTGTTTTCTCAGTTGATTGTCAATCCAAGAAAAGCTGTTGATTCAGTGGACATTACACTCAACAACCCATTGTCTCAGGATGAAGAGGTATGTAGCAGTGACTAGTCTCATTTCTCTATTCTACTCAAATCAGGACCTATATCACTTAGAATTGTTTGCATTAGGCAAAGAAAGTTTGTGCAGAAAATATTTTCAAAAATTAATACAAATAAAAGATTTAAGTTTCTTCTACATTTAATTCGAATCCTTTAGCTACATAGAGTGCCTTAATACCTATCTGCACAGTATTTCTTTGACTACATAGAGTGCGTAAATAGCTATTTACACAGTATTTCTTTGTGTAATGCATTAAAAAAAAATTAAAATTAATTTCTACTTTTTAGTGTGTTGAAACTGGTCTTTGATAGCAAGTCTTTTACAAAATAATATTTTATTTAGCATCATTACATTTGGATTGTTTATAAACACCAAACCAATGTCTGTGTAAATTTCACAATGTAAAACACTTGCATTTATCTAGTCTGTTTCAACTATCAGTTTAAAAAAATGAAAACATAGAATAATCTGCCTGAGGACCAATGTTCTCTGGTTTGTTGAAGTGATCACACCAATTAATTGTCTGTTTTCTCCACTATTTGCAGAGTCCATGGAACAAATTCTTCCAAGACAATGAGTTAAGGCTGACAATAAAACAGGATGTTATAAGGACGTAAGTAGCTTTTGTTTTGTGTTTCTTGTAATTGCTTTGTGTAACGTTTTAGAGTTATGTCAACAAAAGTTTATGCTGTTCAGGGCTGGAGATATTTTTACGCTTTCTTCCTTCCTCCAAAAATTTAAAATCAGGAATTTCAAAAGTTAAACTTTCTCTTGGATCCTGGGACCTGGAGCCCAGAAGGTGTCAAGGAGATTTAACATTGAACATATTATGACCTCATTGAGGGTAATTCCTTTAAAATGGCTACGTAAATACATGTCAAATTACATTGCTACCACTTCACATACACACCACATTAATTTCACAGCAAATTAAGGACATTGCATATAAACAAAACATTGTAGAAGTGTTGTTTTTGTGTTGTCTTAAGTTCACACATAAGATTTGTTACTGTTATGTAAAGCATTGGTTGTCAGTGGATTACATATTGAGTAGAGAGAATTGGCAAAGATAAGGCACTAGAGATGCAAAGTAGGAAAGAGAGGAACATGTTCTGAGTTATGGAGAAAGTGTTATGGTGTGCAATAGTTTTTACTCATAAAGGTAACGGTAAAGAACTGATTCATTAGATAACTATTTTTATGCGAATAACAACAGCACACAAATTATGACTTAACTCAGTCAGTATTTGAATTTTCTGACTCCTCCTCTTGGGGAATTAAAAATTATTGTTTGCCAATTTTTTTAAATGAGTAAGTTGAAATATGTTCGAGGGCTCAAAACATTAAGCTGCACAAATTGTGTTTTGTTATCCTTAAGATGACATGGGATTTACTACAGCCTAATCTTAATCATTAATGCAGGGAGATAGGATTTAATGTTGTCATGAGGTCATTAAACTAATGTAGGATTCAGCCTTGTGAGATAAGATTTTATGTTGTCATCGAGTCATTCAATTATTGTAGCATTCAGTCTTGTCAGATAAGATTTTTTTTACACCATAGAGTCATCAAAATATTGTTTTGTTAGACTTATCAGATAAGATTGAATGATGTCCTGGAGTCATTTGTAGGATTCAGTCTTGTTTACATGTCAACATTAATACGTATCTAATGGTACTAAAAATCAAAATTGTGTTTTTCCTTTTCAATAAAAATAACAATTATTCTTTTTATACTTATTTTATAAAAAATTTGATGATGAATCATTTCCATCCATTATTGATGTTGTGATGTTGTTTTACCATCAGATTCTATTTATCTTTGATTACAACTTGTGATGGGGTATTATGTTTTCTGCATCGCTATGTAATTACAGTTAGAAAATTGAAACTTTGCTTAATTGTATACTTTTAAACATACATATTTAGGGCTCATTGTTCCCCAAAATTTCTTACATCAATATCTAGGAATCAGTTGTACAGTATCAAAGTATTTTTTCCACATTTTTTTTTTAATGATAAACTGAATGTGGTGTAACAGACTCACCCAAAATAAATTTGTTTCACAGCACTGTCTTTTGTGCAAACTTCTTTTTATTTGTTTGAGAAAGGAAAACTAAATTGTTCAATCAACAACTGCATTTATATTTCATATTTTCAATAATTTAGTTCTTTTTATTTGTGAATGAGCATTGTCCAATCCAAAGAATCTCAAAACAATAAAAAAAAAAAAAAAAAAAAAATAAAAATAAAATTAACTCTAATTTTTTTTTTTGTTTTAATTTTTTTTTTTTTTTTTATAAATTTTTTCTTTTTTTTTTTTCTTTTTTTTTTTTTTTTTTTTTTGTTTGAGAAAGGAAAACTAAATTGTTCAATAAACAACTTCATTTATATTTCATATTTTAAATAATTTAGTTCTTTTTATTTGTGAATGAGCATTGTCCAATCCAAAGAATCTCAAAACAATAAAAAAAAAAAAAAAAAAAAGATTAAAATAAAATTAACGCTAAATTTTTTTGTGGAATAAATTTCTTGACAAGAAGGCAAAAAGATCTCCCTTTCTACTCCACTTCTTTTTATTTACATTTTAGAACATTTGGGAAACATAATTGGAAACAGTGGTTCGTCCGTTATTTCTTTTTACTGGGGTTTTGTGACCATATTTTTATTTCTCTCATTGTTTCAAGTGCTGTTGTTTGGATAATGTTGTCTATAGTGATGGTGATGGTCATGATTTTTCTTAGTTTAATATATTAATGACATCAGTGTAAACAATACCTGGTGGTTTACAAGACTTGAATTCTGCCATGTATAATTCTGCAATATTATTGTAGACTTTTAGAAGTCCATTACATGGCTGGGCTGAATGAAGATCTATTTTCCCAACATCTGGTTAAAACTGCTTTTTAAAATTAAAATGATAATCCGAAATGCATGGATTTTGATTATTATTTATTTGTACCCCTCTTATTTTTTTAAGGCATTTTTTACATTGTAGACTACCCTTATGAAAAAAACATAATATGCATTAAAAAATCAATTGTTTTTCTTTGTGCATAAATATATATGATTGGATAAAGTAAAATGGGATCTTTTTAAAATTATATTTTAAAAACAAAAAGAAAAAAAAATTGTTGTGTTTCTATTTTTATTAAAGCTGAACCTTATTTTATACCCTGTGAAGAAAATATATTTTTCTCCAAACTTTACTTGCGTGATCATTAAATTGTGTGATGTAAGGTATTTGGACAGAGACATGTATTTATTTATATTTTTACTCTCAACATATTTCTCCACCCTTATTTTTTATAATCCTTATTTTCCTATTTTCAGAATATAGAGTCTAAAACTATTTTCCGTGAAAACCAATAGATTTAACACCTTTATGTGTGCTTTAAAATAATATAAAGCAATCATTTAATGATTTGAAAAATTTAAATAGCTAAATTAAAGTTGAAACATGATTTAATTTAATAATAAATAAATTGACCTAAATAATGGAAGAGTTTTTTGATGGATCCCTTTGATTCATTTTGATTATTTAATGTAAAATTTCAATATTTATTCTGTTTATATTTTTTATAATTATAATCTACTGTTATTGCGTGAAAAAGAAGTATGAGAAGTGTATAATAATATGGAAAATTTTAAAATACTTATGTTATCCATTCTGAGCACTCATGATATCCATGGAAGCCATCCAAGGAAACTCATATGGCAGCTTTTTAAATTCAATATATACCTTAAAACATGTGCCTTAACACTGTTTTGCTTAGTGCAACATTTTAAACTATTTACATCCTTGTACCAGCGTTGTTTTAAAAAAATGAGTATTTGTTGAATGAGGGACACATAATTAAGAGATTTATAAAGCCATTAAAACTAGATTACACTGTTTTAAATTAAAACAAACAGAGACACGATTTTGCCAGATTTGACCTGATTTGCTCTGTGTCATTTTCCTGACTTAACTTATGTTCCTTCTCTCAGCTACCCAAAGATTGAATTCTTTCAGTCTAACCAACTAAGGAACCTTATGGTTGACATTCTCTTCATTTTTGCCAAGGAAACCCCTGAGCTCTCCTATCGACAGGTGCTTTCCATTTTCTCACATATGTTCTGTGTAGTGATTTGTTCCTTTCTTCAAGTTCTTGCAGCCAAAATCTTGCCATTGTTTCATAATCACTTTCTGTATAATTCTTCTAAAACTTTGTTATAAACACTAAATGGTTTAATTACTTAAAACTTGAAATCAAGTCAGTATTAAATTTAGGAAGTTAATTCATAAAAAAAAAAAATGAAGATAATCTTTTAATTGCAAAATATTTCAGTGGCATTTTTCAGGAATTATTTGAATTGACTCAGACAAAATCCAGATAGATACACGAATACAGTTTATCCTTATGTAATACAATGACCAGATTTTTGCATGAAACAAGTTCAAGGACATAAGCTATTCATTGACCTTTGCTTGTGTTATTTGTACTTTCTTTTTCTATGTCACTTTTGTTTTTTTTGTAAATTTTGACAGTATAAATTCAACCATTTTAGTTAAATGAGCCGAGTATAGTGTTTAATCACATAAAAATCTTACAGATTTATGTTCATTTTATTACAGACTTATAACAAATTTTATAGCAGATTTATAGCCAATTTTACAATAGATTTATAGCCAATTTTATTACAGATTTATAGCCAGTTTTATAGTTTTAGCTTATGATGAGGAGGGTTATGGAAAGGGATATAACTTTTAGTTGATATGAGATTGTGTGGAGTGTGTTCTCGTAGAGTGTGTTCTTGTTGAGTGTGTACTTTTGGAGTGTGTACTTGTGGAGTGTGTGCTTGGGAAGTATGTGTACTTGTGAAGAAAGTGTACTTCAGTATCCGGTGGTGTATATAATTTGTGTTTCAAAGTTTGCTTTAGTCATACCCAGTTGCTGCCCTTAAAAGTTATCATATTACAATTATTTTTTACCTTTTGTTTTCATAAAACCTTTTTGGTTATTTTCTCTTCTTGCTTTTCACAAAATTTTTTCCACCCTCAAAATAAATTTCTTTTTATTTGTTTTTTGTATGTTGTGAAATCTAATTAATCTCCCTTTTATTTCAATGCTAAAATATTTTCTGAATTTTGCATGAGATGTATAAATCCTTTAATTTTCCCTTATGTTTTCTGTGACCTTGATTTAAGATTCTAAGTGTGAAGTCTGACCTACACTCTCCAACAGGATTTCACACAGCAGAATGCCATCAGAATTAGCCATCAAACAATCATCCCCAATATTAATAAAATAATGGCACAGCCATGTGAGCATTATTTAGAAACACACTCCATCAGCTAGTTATAAAATATAGTCAGAAATCTATCCATAAAAATAGCTGCAGTGCTGGCCTACAAATCAATAAGAAGCTAGACTTCAAACGTATTGAAACAAGTACTTCACATTCATATTTTTGAAAATGCCTTATCAACTGCCCACCCCCTCCAATAAAAAAAGTTATTATAGCTTTATATCGTTTTAAGGCTTTGGGGGGTAAATTCTTATTACAGTATCCAAAAATAAGAATACAAATTCTTGCCAATGGCTTATATTATCATTCAAAACAAACACAACAGCATATATATCCGGTGTTGAATTATGCAATGCTATATTGGAAATGCATTCATTTTAATATACTTGTTATATCTTCATCATTCTTAAATTGTGTACATCTTAAAAAGTTTCTTTCACCCTTTCAATTTTGTAACAAATTAATGATACCGCCATGTTGTATTTGTTTAAATTATTTTTTGTTGTCTGTGCTACTGTATTGACCTATAAAAAAATGACATTTATGTCCTGCAAAAATTAACTATTCGCAGTCCACCTTTTGGGAAGATCAGACTTTGCCTAGGCAAAAGTTTTTTTGAAGTTGTTGAACTTGAATTCTTGTATATTTCATTTGATTGTACAATTTAATAAAATATTTTTACACATATTTGAAGCGCTATGTAAATAATTAAAAAAACCTTTAAAAAAATAATCCATTTATTCGAAAGTGGGTTTCTTGGATATCAGGGTGAGAGCCAAGCCTAATTATTTGAATTTTACAACACTACTAATATTTCAAATACTTGCAGTTCGTTTGCTGGGTAATAGTGTCTCATCTGCCTTTCAGAAATATTTTGTTCTGTTCCTTAAGATTTACATATTTTATCAAATATGTGCACTTATAATTGGAAGAGCTAATGAAAGATTTCATAGTTAACTGGCATTAGCTTTGTAAAGATGGCAAACGGGGCTGAGCAGAATTTATGAAGCAGGGCTCTATCTTGTTAAAGTCACTAGTAGTTAACAATACTAAAATTGTTTGAGACATTTATGTTAGTCAATCTATTAATACAAATTTCACACATTTTTTATTTCTAGTGGGAAATGTCTCAAGGAACAGTGTCTGAGTAGACATAGTTCTAGTATGACTGCAACATTGCTCCACAGAAACACAGTTTTAACATATTTTTAGAAATGATTACAACATTCCTTCACATAACTACTCAGTTTTGAAACATTCCTAGAAATAGTTGCAACATTCCCTCAAATAACTTCTCAGTTTTAACGTATTTCTAGAAATGGTTGCAACATTCCCTCAAATAACTTCTCAGTTTTAACATATTTCTTGAAATGGTTGCGACATGCCCTCAAATAACTACTCAGTTTTAAATTTGTTGAATACTGTGGACTTGTCTAACATGGATTTCTCATGTACAGGCCAAGTACAGATTTTTGTTGTTGTTGTCTGTAGAAAAACATATGAAAGATGTGTTGTTGTAGTGTTGCTAGCACAAGCAGTTCTTGAAGTATTCGTCCTATTCCCCAGTAAACCACCAGTGTGGTTAATGATTAAACGAATTGAGCCACATTCACCAACTTGAAGCGCCTAGGGATTCCATTTCTGTCTAAGGGTTACCTCTGAAACATATACAATATTTTATGGCATACGGTGCACACCATAATTGTTGTATGTACAGTTTAAAACTTACCTTGAACAATGTTTATTGATAATAGCTAGAAAAGCAAATGACTTATGATTGAAACTGAAATATGTTTTGAACTAATCCGCAATTCAACAAAACAAAGTAAAAGCAATCAGATTGATTCCACACAGATAGCCAACTGTGGAAACTATTGCAGTCAGGAACTGTTTGTGCAGTGCTATTGTTGTTTTCTTATTGATGGCCTTATTAGCTTTTCCCCCATTTTTTTTTTTTTTGTATTCTTTATTCAAGTTTCCCCGAAGTTGAGTTCTTCAGAGGAACCAAGATGGGGGACATGATGATAGATATTCTCTTTTCTTATTGATGGCCTTATTTGCTTTTCCCCCTTTTTTTTTTTTTTTTTTGTATTCTTTATTCAAGTTTCCCCGAAGTTGAGTTCTTCAGAGGAACCAAGATGGGGGACATGATGATAGATATTCTCTTTTGCTATAGTCGTGAGTGTGCCACTAACTCGTACAAGCAGGTTGGTCTTTCATATGACCTTGGTTGTGGGTTGTTTATGCATTTTTGTATATAACAACTTGCAGAAGATAAATTGGGTTGCCTTAAAATAAAATCAGCATACAGTTCTTAAGCTTGGCATATGAAAAAGCTTAGCTTGCTTCCTAAAAGACTTTGCAGTAATAAAATTTGCTTTTATAACATTAAGTAAAATATTGGCTAAGATTAAATGCAATGTAAGGAAATGTGTTAGTGCTGTATTACAAACATAAAGTTAGGTAAACAAATGTGTAAGTGATGTTTACAGACATAAATTTAGGTTAACAAAAAATGTATTTACTAGAAAACATCTTCCATATATAATGAATCCCATTGGGAGGGGTGGAAAGGGGGGCAGTGTTAAAATGACTAAATGTATAAAGCTATTAATTTATCATATGAAAACTAATTGTTTGAGTTCTTACACAAAGATCAGTTGAACCTTACACTTTTTTTATGTTATGCCCAGAAGGCAGATAATATTATTTATAATAAATCTCCAAGAACGATTAAAACTCAAGCCTTAACTATCTTTAAATAATTTTTAAAAAAATACATGTGTGTATGCCTGTCCAATATTGATGTACCTTTCCAATGGGGCTCATAGAATGGAGAAATTCTTAAGACGGCTAACTTTATTTGTCAGGTTAAAAAATTATACACCACAGGCTTTCTGTAAAAAAGGATTATCATGTAACGAAAAATAAATGAGTGTTAAATGTAGTAAGAATTTTAAAATTAAAAAATAAAATGGATAATTTTTAAGGGCATCAAATGAACTGTTATCATTCCTAGAACAGATTTCTATCTAATGTTCTATAAGCTTGCTCAAAACATTTACATTTTAAAGGAGAAATCACAATGTCATTTTCGATTTATTTCGTTATCTTATCCTGAATCACATGAACAGACCCACCAAATTTTGAATTCCTCTAATTTGTTCAGTGACCCACATTCATAATGTCCCTGTAATGGAGATTCTTTACTATTAGTAAAATTGATCTTCCAACCAACCCCCCCACCTCCACCCGAAACACCCCTTACAAATTTCTGCTCAGCTTTCTGTATTGGCTTCTTTTCCTCACCTCCCAACTTTGCTTTGATGGGTTTTAAGCTTCAACTATTGTGTTGTATTTTTAATCATACATGTGTTTCAAAAAAAAATTTAGTTGATGTAAAGTACTTTTTTAATGACAACATTGTGCACTAAGTGACCATAAATACAATTTTAAGGAAGAAAAAGTTCTTTAAAAACTTGACTAGGATATTTAAACTAAAATTATATTTAAACAAAGTAAAATTGATAACAATGTTGAACCTCATTAAAACAAATTTTGGAACTGTTGAGCACTTCTAATGTAATATGGTAGTGACCTCCCTAACTTGAAGATATAATTTGTATATTTTACTGGTCTGCTGACACAGTAATTAGAAATGAGAAAATTTAAATTACTAAACAGTGTTTTTAAAGCTATGTGTCTTATTCATTCATCTCTCTTTCCCAACGCTTTATGTGCTGGTTTCTTTTGGAACCTGGGCTCAGGTAATTAATTTGATGGCTTTACTTTCATTACACCTGATTTCATTTAAAATTTTAATAAAGAGTTCTTTGAACCATCGATAACATGAGAGAACAAACAAAAATAAATACAAACATGAAAAGCTAGGAAAGAGGGAAGACTTTCAGATAAATAAAGGATTGCGCTTTTTTAAAATACTGTCTCAGGCTGAAGATAAAAACTGTTATTAATTTTCCTGCTTTTTAATTAACCTTAAAGAGGGTAACAAAGTAATTTAAATTATTATTTTAAAATTTCAAATGTAAAAGCAAGCAATTTGGCTTTTGATTATAAATTAAAAATTAATTTTTTAAGCTTAACCCTAACCCTAACCTACATTTTTTATGCCATGTTTAAAGTTAAGTTCAGGGGACATAATTTATGAGTTCAGGGGAAATAATTTTTTTAAAGTTCAAGTTTAAGGGACAAAGAATCCAAAATAGACTTAATTCACTCAAGTGTAAGACACTTTAATTTTACAAGACATTAAACTTGTTTTTCAAGTAAACAATTTTAAACAACTTATTTGTTTAACATATTTGTGTAATTAATTCATTTTTGTCATAAATTGATGCCATCTACTTAGCTGACTTATGTTTGACCCTCATCATTTCAGGGCATGCATGAACTTCTGGCACCACTGATATTTGTGCTTCACTGTGATCACCAGGCCTTTCTACACGCATGTGAGATAGAGTCAGTACTGTAAGTTATAGTATTAATTTTCTATCCATTTAAGTGAGTGATGTTTTATAGTGAGGGTCGTGCTGTAGTGAGTTATAGCTATTACAAGGGATATTGTTATATTATTTGATATTTTTAAAGTGTGGGGTATTGTTATAGTGTTTGATATTTTATAGTGTGGTGCTAGAAGGACCCGAGTCTAGTGTCAGAATTTATCACATAAATGGAAAAAAATATATTTTATATGAAACTGAGGGCTGATTATCAATAGGGAAAGATGTGCCCAGAGCTTTAAGGCCAAAGAGCCTTGAAAGGCTTAAGTATTATTATCTTTATGCTAATGGATGTGCACAGGGGACACAAAGGCCTTAATCCAACCTTGGCTAAATCTGCTGATAATGGTGACAATCTATTACCAGCATTCAAAAAATGAAGTTTTACAGTAAAAATCTTCTAAACAAATTATTTTAAAAAAACAAACTATTCTTTATGTTTTTTTATAGACATTTATAAAGATAATTAAATAGGATAATTTCCATAAAACTAGGTTCTTATAATCATAGCCAATAACCTTTTAAAAATGAATGGTCACTTTCTTTATTACTTGTTCATAAGTAGTTAAAAAAATATATATATTAGTTCTCTTCACTGAAATCTTGAGACATTACTTTAACGCTGGGAAAGTAATTACTCAAAAAGTAATGAAATAACTAATACATTTGGTGAAGATAAAGTGTCTTGTGTTAACTAACCAGTGTGCACAACTATATTTATGCTTTGTATTTCCTGATATTCTGGTGTGTTTTCTTGACATCGTTGAAAGTGGGGACTAACTAGCTTCTCTAAACGGAAATTGCATATTATAAATATCATTTGATGAGGGATACAGTTAGGAACATTGTTCAGATAAAAATTTGTTTGTTTGTTTTTTTAAAATAAAAATATCACATGTGTAAAGCTCAAGGGTACTTAACAAATAGAATGATCTATTTTGTATATAAAAAAAGATCTGTCACCAGATATTTTTTTTTATACATACGAAATAGATCATTCTATTTGTTAAGTACCCCTGAGCTGTACACATGTGATATTTAAAAATTTTTTTTCATTTAAAAAAAAATAAAATATATCACATGTGTAAATCTCAGGGGTACTTAACAAATAGATTGATCTATTTTGTATATTAAAAAAGATTTGTCACGAGATAAGTTAACCCTAAACTGTCTAATGATAAATTCTGGATAGTAGTGTAATTATAACCCATTTGATTGAAAGTGAGGCATCCATGTACATAATAAATAGTGGACCGTTGCTAATTTTCTTTGAATGTGAAGATTGCCATGAAACGTTTAAGTAAGTTGATAAAGTTGATGATACAAAGTGCTATGCATTTCTCACAAAAACATGAAAACTTCTTTAATTATCCTTCATGATTTCTCATCTTCTTGCCCTTTCACCATTTGTCCGTAATAAATTAATACAAATCTATATAATAATAATAATAATTAGTGGTCTTTTATAGCGTGGTACCCCAGCCTAGGACTGGGCTCACCGTGCTGTACATAAAAATGTTATCAAAAGAGACATAATCATGACATTAAAATAAAATACAATGAAATGAAGAACAGCATGAACCCCAGGACTTTTACAAGGCAAACCGTGGACGGCAGCCAACAAAATCATTTATCGGTCAGAGGAGGGGAATCAATCAGGGTAGTATAGTTTAAAGAGATGTGTTTTGAGTGCAGTTTTGAATATCTCAAAGTCATAAAAATATAGACAATGTTTTGGAACTTAACATCGTAAAAAAGATGTTACAATATTATAAAATAGTCTTACAATGATTCTCCATTAAGAAGTTCATGATCATACGAAAATTGTGTTAAATTCTCGTGTGGATTTGATAAGATTGGCTGAATAAATTTGTTCTTTTTTTTCAGGTAACTTGTCTGAACATAAGAACTTTCAAAATTTGAAAATATTTGCAAGTTACTTAAGTCTATCGTTATTTTTAACAAATGAGAGACAGAGAAAACTAATCTTATAGCAGTAAAATGTATTATATATATTATTTAATTATATGCATTTCAACATTTCACTAAATGAGGTAACATTTCAACATTTCACTAAATGAGGTATCATTTCAACATAACCATTTGAAGGTCATCTATATTTTATCTGCCTTTAAATCAGTGGTTCTCAACCTGTGGGTCGCGCAACCCTTTTACGGGGGTCGCGTAAGACCATTGGAAAACACACATTTCCGATCTCGATGATCCTAGAAACTGATTGATTTAGGCAAGCTAAAAAACCAGTCACAAATTTTCATTATAATTGGAGACGAATTTTTTAAGAAACTGAGTGCAATTTCCTTATCTAATGACACTGTCCGCAGAAGAATAGATGACATGTGTGTTGAAATTCTTGGTCAGGTAATCAAGGAAATTAAATCTGCTCCCCCTTCCAATATTGAGTATCCAGCTTGATGAATGTACAGACGTTGCAAACTGTTCACAGTTACTAGTTTATGTGAGGTGACTTTAATGATGAGTTTCTTTTTTGCAAACCTCTTGAAACCCCAACTACTGCACGTGACGGATTTGACACAGTTGGTTTATCTCTGAAAGATCACAAGATCTCTTGGGAAAAGGTTTGTAGTGTTTGCACAGATGGTTCTCCAGCTATGCTAGAATGTAGCTCTGGATTTCAACATTTGGTACTGAATGAGTCACCAAAAGTCATCAGAACTCACTGTATGATTCATTGGCAAATATTAGCAACGAAGACGCTTCCACAAGAGTTACAAGAAGTAACTTAAAGTGTCATAAGTTCTGTTAATTTTGTAAAGGCGAGCACTTTAAACAGTCAACAGTTTTTGCAACTGTGCATCAAGTTGGAGGCACCGAACAATGCTTTGCTTTTTCACACTGAAGTCAGATGGTTGTCGAGAGGAAAAAATGTAAAACATGTTTTTTAGCTTTGTGATGAACTCAAAACTTTTTTTTAATCAGAAAGCAAGACTGTAGTACAAAGCTCTTTTTAGTGATAAAAGTGAACTGCAGAAAATAGCTTAATTGGTTGACATCTTTGCCATCTTGAATGACTTAAATTTATCACTGCAAGGACCAAATGGAACATGCCTCAAATTGTCTGAAAAGATGCGATTATTTAAATTTTAATTTCAGCTTTAGCAAAAAAATTGAAGGAAAATAAAATTTACATGTTGCCTATCTTTAAGGAACAGACATTGAACCAGACAAAAGGATTATGATGATACATTCTGTGAAGGAACACTTGCACATGCTTGCAGACGAAATTTCATCCTACTTTCCAAATCTATCTGACACCCCATTTGCACTTGCCAGATATCAGTCAAGGTTGAGGATGTTCCTGAGTCAACACAAGAGGAGTCCATTGAACTTATTAACAGCGATGCAGGGAAAACTGATTTCTCTACAATGCCAGTTACAAAATTTTGGATCACGTGTTTGCATTCATATCCTGTTCTGCCTGAGACTGAACCGCCCTGTTCTTACGTTTCCAGAAACATATCATTGTGAAACAGAGTTTTCTAGCTTGGTGGTAATCAAGTCTAAATACAGAAGTAGACTTTTTGTGGAAGATCATCTTCGTTGTCCCCTAGCAAAGACTGTCCTGAGCATTTCTGATCGGGTAAGAAATAAACAATCTCAAGCTTCGCACTGACGCTGGATTTTTACGCATACTATCGCAAAATGTCGCAAATTTGTTTACTGTTGTTATATTAGGGCTGTTACCCATGCTACACCATGCTTCAAGACACATTTTCATTTATTTTTAATTAGAAATAAATATTTTACAATATCTAATTACCTATTGTTTTTTGTGATTAATCACTTTGCTTTAATTATGTTCAATTTGTAACAATGAAAATACATCCTGCATATCAGATATTTACATTATGATTCATAAAAGAAACAAAATTACAGTTATGGAGTAGCAACGAACATAATTTTATGGTTGGGGTCACCACAACATGAAGAACTGTATAAAGGAGTCGGGGCATTAGAAAGGTTGAGAACCACTGCTTTAAATGTTCAGTTAAAGCAGAATTATTGAATTTGTATAGGCTATTGATGCATCTATAAAAATGTGTACACATTTAAACTTTCAGTTACTGTTCCCAGCAAGCAAGGTCAGGATTTCAATCTGTCCTTACTCTTATTTTCTATCTTTTCCTATTTTCATGCCTTGCCATTACCTTGTCTGTTGAGGGAAATGGCAGCCACGTATGTAGCTGAAGATAGGGAGATACTCATTTATTGACAAGCTAAATTTTTATTATTTCAAATTTTATTTTTCTGTTTCCCAAATTTTCTCACTTGACAAAGGCAGATAGGACAGAGGCATATACAGTGACCAATTTTATAGGCATAATTAAAAAAGAAATGATTATTTTATATAACTTTAACTTTTTTCAATTTAAGATGCACCTTTTTTGTATTGGGTTTTTCTTTGAATAATATTCATATATATATTTATAATTTATATTTAAAAGAATTTCTGCTTGGTGTAAGGGAATCAAGCAGTAGAATGGCAATGGAATATTCAATCAGAACCTTTTTATTATTGGATTAGAATAATTTTACGTTCATGGTGAAATCTTATTTGTTGTAGAAATCCAGCTTTTTTTTTAGATTTTTAAAAAAAAAAGAATCTTTGCAGCATTTTTTTTCTTTAAAAGACTTTGTTTCAGACCAAGTTGTTCTTTTCAAAAAACAACAACAAAAAACAAAAAAAAAACATGTAAGATTTCATTCTTTCAATATTGAAGTTAAATTGTTGTATGGTTGGAAAAATAGGCTAATAAATAAGATTGATTGTTTCAATCGTGTCTATTCGATCCATCTACTGTGTCTGTATTCTAATTATTTCTGAAAGATCTCTTTCTATTTCATTTCCTCTTACACTCACTTCCTCTCCACACATGGTCTCTTTCTATTTTCCATTTCCTCTTACACATTGTCTTCTTGCTGCTGTCGGGGCAAACATATTTTAACCCTCCTAAAATAAAACAATTCATGTGTAGTTTTTGTTTCTAACATATTTTGAAAAAATAACCTATGAGAGCATTTTTAGCTTATTTCAATATTTAATTTGGTCTAACAATTTTTTTTTTTCATTTTAAACTTGCCAACATTATACTCTTTTATACTGCAAATTATTTTCAAAATATACCCGGTATCTATAAACTGCACATCCTATGTTAACTGCATATTCTATTATTTTACCCTTTTTTTTTAGCTTAATGTAAAGGAGCTCTACTTATCAATTTCAAACTAAACAACCTAATTTCTCAACTACTGTAAACAGTCTCCTCTCCTGGATTCAAACAACCTAATTTCTCAACTACTGTAAACAGTCTCCTCTCCTGGATTCACTACACTGCTGAAGCCTGAGATCATTTTTTTGTTTTGTACTATTTGAGGACCACTTGGATCCTCACATCATGATATAAACCATAATTTATGCAACTCTGGTCAAGACAGTTAACACAATACCATATTATTTTCACTCAGTGTTTATAGTGAAATAATTCATTTAGCAATATTGTATAACCAAATCCCTGAAGACACAGTTATGAATATAGCATACAATAATCTGGTGGCGCCACGTTGTTCACATTCCCAGAAGACACAGTCATGAATATGGCATACAATAATCTGGTAGTGCTGTGCTGTTCACATTTTTGTGATATATATTAATGGTGATGGTGTTTTGTATTTAATAAAAATGTGCCTACAATTGAATGCTTGTTGATATAGTTGGGGGGGGGGGATTTTAAACAAATACATATTAGCTACATATGTGGCAATATTTCTTGAATCAAGAACCCGTTCATCAAACACTGCCTTAATGGCTTGTGTTAAGAGAGGTTTCGTTGAAGCAAACATGACATAATCCAGTTTAAATCTTTGGTAGTATTTATGTGTCCTTGTACCGGGCTCAGTGCCATGACACATCATCATTAGAGTTATTAAAACTGACTAAATGACAACACTTTAGAAGCACATGAAATCTAATGGATTTTTATATTTATTCCTATCATGGTTTTATGTAACCTACAGTGGTTTATCACATTTAATGTATGACTTACAGTGGCCTACAAGGGCTTATCACATTTAATGTATGACTTACAGTGGCCTACAAGGGCTTATCACATTTAATGTATGACTTACAGTGGCCTACAAGGGCTTATCACATTTTATGTATGGCTTTGTACTGTATTCTATAAATAGACATCCTTGCTCTCTCTCCAACCTGTTTTATACATTAATCTAATTGTCTGCTCTTAATTTCAGAGATATAATCAAAGAAGTCATGGACCCAACATACCTTGAACATGATGCATAGTAAGTTGGTTACTGCCTGTCACACATATAAAAAAAACAACATACTTCTAAATTAATTAAACTTATTCCTTGTTGCTCAAGTTTTTGTCTAGATATATGCTACTGAAACTTCAGATGGGTGGGTTTCATGGGCAAGTTCAAATGGAAAGGGTCAGATGGCCAGGTTTAGATAGGCGAATTCAGATGGGCATGTTCAGATGTGAAGGTAAGATGGGTGAGTTGAGATGTGAAGGGTCAGATATGAAGGTTCTGATGGGCAGGGTAAGGTGGGAAGGATCAGATAAGCTAAGGAAAGAGAACTAAAAAAAAAATAGAGCAGTCATTGAACTTGGCATGGCATGGGCAAGTTACTGATGCCAGCTTACCAAGTGGAAAGGATCAGATGGCAAGGTTTAGAATGGAAACTGGTCCCCTGGTACCTATCATGGCATGGGCAAGTTACTGATACCAGCTTCTCTCCCTTTGCTGGTCCTTCCAGGGCTCACTCTTGCTTCTCCACCTCTGGTGGATGTCCTCAAGAAATCTCTCAGACAGAAATGTTGTTGTTTCCTGAATTTGAAGTTTTCTATGCATTTCCTTTATTTCATCTCTGTTGTTACAATCACCCATTGATATGTCACAGCTTGTGAATGTTGTCTCTAAAACCTAGACACTTTTGTTTTCATCCGTGTTTAGCACCATGTTCTGTCAAGTTATGGAAACGGTGGAGCCCTGGTACCTATCAAGAGACATGTTCTTTAACCCAAAGGTGGGCTATTTAAAAAAAAATTATTTTGTCTATGTTGTTTAAGTTGCCATAAACATTTAATCTACAACAAAATTTGAGCTTTGAATATAACCAATGTAATAAAACACAGCAAATGCAACGTACCATTTTTTTTGTGTGATCCCATTAGATGTGAGTAACTAATAATGTAATAGAAAAATAACATTTTTATTCTGTAACACCATTTCTGGTTAATTTTTAAATATTGTTTGGCTAATTTAATCACAGATTTTATACATTTTACTCAAAACCCCCATAACATGACGATAAACCCTCCCTGGCTTCTCTGTGACAATAAACTGTCCCTGACTTCTCTGGGCAATAAACTCTCCCTGGCTTCTCTGTGACAATAAACCCTCCCTCGCTTCTCTGTGACAATAAACCCTCCCTGGCTTCTCTGTGGCAATAAACCCTCCCTGGCTTCTCTGTGACAATAAACCCTCCCTGGCTTCTCTGTGACAATAAACCCCCCCTGGCTTCTCTGTGACAATAAACTCTCCCTGGCTTCTCTGGTTGCAGACTGGCTCAATGAGGAATCTGGAGATGATCAATGCCACACCATTCTCCAGGTCACAGGACTTGAACCCCTCCAATGCCATTGTGACCAAACTGACCAGGATACAGGACTACATCCTCAAGAAGTTTGACCCAGAGCTGCATCTCCACCTGGAAAGATTAGAAATAGCACCACAGATTTATGGCATGTGCGTAGTACATTTATGGCATGTGCATAGTACATTTATGGCATGTGCATAGTTTAAATAGCACCTCATTTTCTTGGCATTTTCACATTATTATATTGCACTACATAATTATTGCATATACAAATTGTTACATAGCACAACATATCCATGGCACATATACATTTTTATACAGTACAATAATAGTCTATGTTAAATAGCATCAAAGATTTATGGAATATACATATTTTTGTATAGGACTAATTATTTTTTTTATCTGAAACATTGTTAAATATGAATTGCAAATAGAAACAAAAACTTTAAAATGGATTACAAATAGAAATGAACACTTTAAAATGGATTGCAAATAGAAAAGAAAACTTTAAAATGGATTTGCAAATAGAAATGAAAATTTTAAAATATGGATTGAGAATGTGAATGAAAAGCAGCTAAATAAAAGATGTTATAAAATGATTGTTAAATAAAATATAAAATTATTGGTAGGGCAATTTTGTTCTGTAATTTGTCATAGATCAATGGAATATTAAATGCCAAAATAAAATTAAAAAAGATTGAACTATTCTTACTGTAAAATACACTTATAATGAGGACAATAGGATTGTTTAAAATGACATCTATGCAAATTTGAAAACTTAAATGTCAAGTTCTATTTTGTACTTATTTTCTTTCAGACGCTGGCTGCGTCTGCTATTTGGCCGTGAGTTCCCAATGCAGGACCTTCTCATGTTGTGGGATGCCATATTTGGTGATGGGATTGGCTTTGACCTGGTTGACTACATCTTTGTGGCCATGCTGCTGTATATCAAAGATGTTTGTGAGTCCTTGTCTTTTCTTTCACTGATTCAGTACCATAGCAATGTACTTCAGATTACAGCATACAAGGCAATACATGTATAATGTTAACCTGGGACTTTTTGCTTTAAAAAAATCCCTCCAATGCCATGTCAATGTATATAGGGATTTGTTCATCTTGTTACAAATAAAGTGATATGTTCATCCTGTTACGCATAATGTGATCAATTCATCTTGTTACGTATAACCTGATCTGTTCATCTTGTTACACATGCGATGTGTTCATCTCATGTCTTATAATGTGATCTGTTCATCTTGTTATGTATGTGATGTGTTCATCTCATTACGTATAATGTGATCTGTTCATCTTGTTACGTATGTGATGTGTTCATCTCATGATGTATAATGTGATCTGTTCATCTTGTTATGTATGTGATGTGTTCATCTCATGACATATAATGTGATCTGTTCATCTTGTTATGTATGTGATGTGTTCATCTCATGACGTATAATGTGATCTGTTCATCTTGTTATGTGTGTGATGTGTTCATCTCATTACGTATAATGTAATATTTTTATCTTGTTATATATGTGATGTGTTCATCTCATTACGTATAATGTGATGTGTTCATCTCATGACGTATAATGTGATCTGTTCATCTTGTTCCATAAGATGAGGAAGGTTATAAAACAGTAAACTCAAAAACTTTCATCCCCATATCCCAATTGAGACAGACTTGTTTTTTTGTTTGTTTGGGGCAGTTTTGGTCAGAAATGTAAATGAATGTGAAGTATTTCCATTTGAAGAAGCAGAGGTCAACATCCTTAATTTTTTAACATGAACAACATTTTGTACAACTCTGGTGTCTAAGAAATCCTGAATGTCCATTTTGTATTACCATCAACTTTTCCATCTTTACAGTGCTGACCAGCGACTACGCCAAATCCTGAATGTCCATGTTGTATTACCATCAACTTTTCCATCTTTACAGTGCTGACCAGCGACTACGCCAAATCCTGAATGTCCATGTTGTATTACCATCAACTTTTCCATCTTTACAGTGCTGACCAGCGACTATGCCACATGTCTGACAGCTCTTATGAAATACCCACCTGTCAGTGATGTCCATTACTTTGTGGTCAAGGCAAGATGGCTGAGGGAGCCAAATGTAAGTTACATTAACAATAGTCTGAGTCAGGGATGGTCTGTTTCATATATGTTATAATATCTCACCAGTCTGAGTCGGGGATGGTCTATTGGTCTTTGTTATATCTCACCAGTCTGAGTCAGGGATGGTCTATTGGTCTTTGTTATATCTCACCAGTCTGAGTCAGGGATGGTCTATTGGTCTTTGTTATATCTCACCAGTCTGAGTCGGGGATGGTCTATTGATCTTTGTTATATCTCACCAGTCTGAGTCGGGGATGGTCTATTGGTCTTTGTTATATCTCACCAGTCTGAGTCGGGGATGGTCTATTGGTCTTTGTTATATCTCACCAGTCTGAGTCGGGGATGGTCTATTGGTCTTTGTTATATCTAACCAGTCTGAGTCGGGGATGGTCTATTGGTCTTTGTTATATCTCACCAGTCTGAGTCGGGGATGGTCTATTGGTCCATGTTATAATATTTCACCAGTCTGCGTCAGAGATGGTCTATTCGTGTATGTTACAACATCTCACCTGTCTGAGACAGGGATGGTCTATTGGTCCATGTTATAATATCTCACCATTCTCAGCCTCCAAAAAAACCACATAACTCACACAGCAACCCAACATTTAATATACTTTAATAAAATATCACAATATGAATAAATGGCAGTCACTTTCAAAGAACTTGTACAATTAGCAGACCTGTTTACCCCCAAACTCTCAAAATCGTACAATATCATCACAAATTTGTTCAACACATTATCTTGATAGTAAAAAAATAAATGTGCAGTATATATAATGTATACACCTCAAAATCGTACGTTGTACGCCAAAATAATAAACAGGTCTGAATTAGTTCTCTGTCCACAAAAGCATTTAAATATATAAAAACTAAAACAAGGACTAACCTTGACAATAATATCAGACAATTTGTTGTCTTGTTGTTGGTGTCCAGGATATGGCCATCAAACTTTTACCCTTTTATACCAACACTTAAATCTAACACAGTTTCTCCCACTAGTACTGTAAGTCCTGCTAACAAACTTAGCCAAAAAGCTACATATACTAACAGGATCACTGGCAACACTACAACAACATTCAGCATTCCCACTCGCTCGCGCCCCCCCCCCCCCTTACTGTCCATCTGCAAACAACTAACCCTTATGTATCCCCACTCTTTGAAGTATCCCCATGTTTATAATCTGATTAGCATTCAGGTACTCCAGGTACTCTGACTCTTGTGTTCTCATTTATAACAAAAGACTCTCAGGGGCTCTAACACCTTGACAACTTCCCAGCAATATCCTTGTCAATTAGAGTGTACTGTCTATCCATCAACTAATTACACTGTCTTATTGACAGCAACAGCCCCGTCCACCCAGCTATACTCACCAGGGAGCTTACAAGGGCAGCAGCGTTGCAGGAAGCAGTGAAAGTATTGGCAATGTCAGCACAATAGCCAAGGACAGTTCAACCAGTGAGTTAGCTCCCTGTTTCATCTTTAAAGTCATTACAGAAAATCTTTTGTCTTCTCTACTAAACACTACAACTTTCAGTCAGTGAGTTGGCTCACTGTTATTTATATCAGCTTCATAGGAAACACTTAGCCATTTTTATGAAATAGATTTCTCATAAGCCCCTGTTCCAGATGGTATTATCAAGTTTCATGTGTTGGATTTATGGAGAGGTGCTGAGATTATTTGGGACCAAAAAATGTCTGGACAAGACGACACGATGCATGGAAAACACTGGTTGCGACCCTTATAATAAATAAATAGAAAAGGTTTTTTACAGTATATAGATACGTATAGAAAGTACATCTGTGGAGTCAGTGTTTTTGAATTCAGAGATCATCATTCCTTAAAAAATATGTACATACTTGCCAGGAGCTTTACAAATAATTTGAATTGCTCCATACTGAAGAATGGGATTGACAGGGTCTCAACATGTTAATTTGCTATCAATATGTTTTTAGCTTGTATGTAATCCATGGATGGCCTCATACAAGGTTCAGAACTCATTGTAGGTTATAAAAAAAAATAAGCTGCCTTTTCTGTTTTTTGTATTTTTACGTGTCTAAAAAAAATTCATATTCTGGAATTAAATTGTTTTTAAAAAGAAGACTATTTTTGTGTGATCATGAACGAGTCTGACCATTGAATACAGATGAATGAAATATCATTTACATTGAAGTTTCCAAATATATTTAATACATCTGATAAATGTTCATGATGACATTTAAAAACATTAGAATTAGAAGCAGATGTAATGGAGTTATGCATTTCATGATTTCATCATTTTATTATTAGGAAATAGTTTTATTTAAAATGTGTATCTTTGTTACCCATGTAAATAAGACAGGCAAATGCTTTTGTTTGTGTGTTACCCATGGTAACAAGAAAGACAAATGTGTGTAATTGTTTATGTTACCCATGGCAACACAAAAAGGCACATTTTTTGTTATAGGGTTAACTTGTTTTATTTAGCCTCACAGCCCCAACATAGTCAAGGTCAAAAAAGACAGAACACTACATTGGGCGGATTTTCATCCTTCTCTCGAAAATTCAGTCGCCCTCGAACATTATCTGTTCCTAAATCATCCAGCGAACCAATGAGCCTTCAGACTGACATTTCTCCTGGTAACAGCATTAATCTATGTCTTTGATGGTCCCTTTGTTTCGTTTCTAATAATTGTGCATAACAACTGTTTTGCATTTCCTTATGATTTCATTGATAGATAAAGTCATCTGATTCACTGCTTATAATCTTTCCAGTATATGTAAAATGAAAAAAATGAATTAGAGTTGTGAACATTTACTTTTAATAACAATGAAGGAGATAGCACCTGCAGTTTGAAAGTTGTTTTCTTTGTTGTTGCTTATTGTAATTTAAACACATGTTTTTCTGGAGCTGCCCATGCTTTCAATTTACAAAAAGTGTCTACTCTCTAACAACTTTCTTGTATTCTGTTATTGCAGTAATTAAATGCTACATTTATTTTTTTATTGTTAATACAGATTTTATGTTGCTTTATAGTGTTGATATGTTTCACTTACTTTGCTTACAGATTTGTAAAAATATCTTGTTCTAATCCCAGTTTTATATTTCTTAGTTCAATGGCATCCTATTAATTTTTTAAAACTAAAAATTCAGTTGTTTTTTTCCTAATAGCTTTGTTATTTTGTTAAATAATCAAAATGTTCTTCAGAACAGTGGTCCCCATCCAGTGATCATTGATCTCTAAAATCACCTTTATAGCAAATGCTGAGAATTTTATAATGAACAAGTTTAGAGCACTGCTATTGATATAAATTATTTTAAACATAAATGAATCTGAAAACTCATTCCTCCTGCAGATGCGGGCATTTAATATGACCCTTGATGATGAAAATGTTGGGGACCACTAGTTTAGAGCATTGATTGAAGGGATACTTCTATAAGCTTGTTATTCATTCATGTTATTCAGTGTTGTCTGATTTTTACCTCATGTCTTGATTTGAAGAAAAAAATGCTTAATGTTTGCATGACATGTTTACTGGCCTAGAACTTGATGCTTAATTTAACAACAGCAACAAAATGTTGTATTTGAATTTTAACAGGATTAACATTATTTGATGGGATATGAATAATTACACCCCCCATCCCAACCACATTTTTTTAATACAAGAAAATTAAATTTTATAACTAATTTAAGATGAAACAAAAATCTAGCATTGAATTTTTAAAAAGTATTATTGATATATAAATGTCTAAAGTGAAAGATATTAAAAAAAAATTTTTTTAAATTTTTAATGAAGACAAGAATGAGTTTTGTAATTTCCTTTGATTAAAGCTAACAAGTTTTTTCCCTGTCACATAGAAACAGCCAACAACCCAATAGGATCCACAGTAAGCCTGTCTCAAGTGGAGGAGTCCATGTTTAGACACAACCCAGCTGCAAGTCTTGCCAGAATGGAAGCGTCCAATCTGAGATCTGCCCAGTCCAGTCCAGGTGTTCACCATTCCAGCATGTTTCCTTTGACGCCAGGTATGCTTCATGTTTGCCTCCTGCCACTAATATATAAAACAAAGATCAACTGTAACATTTAAGAACCCAATTATTTTTTTACCAAGACTTCCAAAACTCAATCTGACATAACCTACTTATGATGTAAACTCTCACTCATAATTATGTTTAAGCAAAGTGAATTTCATGGGATGAAAATCAGAGGTAGAGGCAGAAGTGGGTTTCATTCTAATATTACTCAGATATGCAGAAAAGCTTTGTTTTGGTTGTTCTTTTCAGGACTTTTAAGTTCTAGAATAAAGCTAAAACTTTCTTTTTCCACTATGTCTACATAGCAGTGATAGCATGCTTTCATTCTCAAGATGTTTGATTTACATAGAAATATTTATGTCAGAATATGCAGCTATTCAATTTATTTCAAATGCTATGTCTATATATTAAATATATTTTTACCATCAACTGCCAACTTCTGTAATACTTGATATCTTTGTTTCCCAGATGACACATCACTGGCCAGCAGTCCAACAAAGTCCAAAGGAAAGCAGAAAAAAATGTCCAAATTGGTGAGTTCCAGTTTGTAAAAATTTTTGTTAGCTGATATCTTCTAAAAAATAAAAATATTTATTGTCATTCAACAACACCTATGCAGTTTAACTGTTAAAAAAAATACTTCTGAGGCTCACATTTCATTAATTAAATAACAAAAAAAAGTATACGTTATTTCATATATTTTATATTTTTTAAACTATATTTCATATTTTATAATTTATAATATTTTATAGTTAATAACTATATTTTATAGATTATAACTCAGAAATTTGTTGAAATGGATGCATGCAAATTAAAAATTTATCAAAAATATAAACTTTGAATAGTAATGGGTAGACACAATTTTGCTAAATTTAACTTTTAAAATTAAAACAAAAAAAAAAGTAAAATTTGAAAATTCTAAACCACATTGAACTCATTTGTAAACCACATGGAACTCATTTGTCTAAAATTTAAATAGGTTACCCGAAATCTGATCAAAAGAAATTTCGTCGACTGAAAATTGATAGACGGAAATTTGATCAAACGGATATTTGGTCGAATCTTTTTTTCACTTCACACGTTAATATTTTCGTCAAATTTTTTTGAGCGCACTATACTATATACTAAAACAAAATAATGCGTTCCAAAAGAAATTTGAAGTAAAATTTTAACGTGTGAGCTGAAAGAAAGATTAAACCCAATTTCTGTATGATCAAATTTCCGTCGACGAAATTTATTTCGATCAAATTTCCTGATACAATTTAAATTACATTGAGCTATTATTATTTTCATGATTCTAGGAAAAAGACCTTCAAGAACAAGTGATGAGACTCCAAGGGGAACAAAATGACATCAACTCTATGTGCAGATATTGTGCAAGTAAACTTGATGTACACATTGGTGAGTTACTGCATATATTATGGTAGTAAACTTGATGTACACATTTGTGAGTTTACAGCATATATTGTGCTAGAAAACTTGATGTACACATTGGTGAGTTACAGCAGATATTATGCTAGTAAACTTGATGTACACATTGGTGAGTTACAGCAGATATTATGCTAGAAAACCTGATGTAGAAATTGTGTGAGTTGCAGCAGATATTCTGCTAGAAATCTTGATGTGCACATTGGGTGAGTTACATCAGATAGTGTACTAGAAAACCTGATGTGAACATTGGTGAGTTACAGCAGATATTATGCTAGAAAACTTGATGTACACATTGGTTGAGGTACAGCAGATATCCATTTCTTTGAAATAAATCTTGACTGAACTATTTACAGTACTGATACTGTAAAGTCTACTCATTTCTACCTAACATAGATGACATCATACAATGATGAATGAAATAAAATGAGTAAAACAGAGTAGGGTTAAACCTGAAAAAATAAACGCAACAAAACAGCGAACGTGTCGGCAGAAAGCCTTCGTCAGCGAACAAAACAACAGAAAAAACGGTATAAAAATAAGAAATAGCACTTAGCTGGTAAGTAGTATCTGTGGGCAGCAATAGAAAATGATGAATGAATAGCGATGTTAAAATATTAAATGAAATGCTTGTTGCAGAAATAACATATTAAGATATTACAAAGAAATCAATCTGAAAATTCATCATGAAGATTGACTGGGACATTCCTGTATTATTATTTTATTAATCTAATTTAAGTTAGATAAGATTATTTTATTGATCCAAATAAATGCCAATATTCATTATTAGCATAAAAAAAACCAACAAAAAAAAAACCCAGACAGTAAATATTCTAATGAAGAAAACAATTTTAATGTAAGAAATTTTGGAGTATTATCCTAGCCCAAAAACCAGTCATCATATGTCTTAAACCCTCAATTCTCTTCTTAACACATTGACTTTAAGAGTGTTTATTTGATTTATAACAGATTTGTACAGATGAAATAAAGCTTTTTTATTTATCCTCACAGGTCGACTGCAGCAAGAACTGTCCAGGCAGAACTTTGAGATTGATGATGACATAATGGTTTCATTGGCCGGGTTAAAACTTGTGAGTGGTTGTGTGAAGTGACTGTACTCTTTGTTTGTCTTGGTTCAGAATTATAAATGTATTGATGATAAGTTGAGCAGGAATATGAATTAACCAATTATTTGGTTTCAACAAATTTACATTGGCATCACCCGATCAGTCATCACCCATTTTCTTCATCTTTCTACTTCATCTTTCATCTGCCCATCCTGTCATCAGCCCACCTGTCATCTTCTTCTTCTTCTATATTTTGAGGGCCCATGATCAATTTATTGATCATTCTGGCTCCTATTTTTCAGAGGGGTTCGCGATGTAACTGTGCATGGTTTTGAACGGGATACCTCACTGATGGCAGGGGCTACTCAGCGATGATATTATGAACTGGGGGTTGGAACTTACATCTTACATCACTCACAAGTTTTCTAGCATATGAATAAAAACTAAGAAAGTTTGATCAACATAATTTTATATTTTATAATTTTATAGTTTTTTATATTTCTGTTTCCAGGTTCGAGATATTCTGAACGGAACACTGAAATTCTCCCAGAATATTGCCGCTGATGACGAGGAGATACAGATTAATGACGATTTCTATGGCAATCAAAATGGAGATGGCTTTAATTCTGGTACTGGTGTTACCTCCCCTGATTCTGATATTCTTTTAGGTGCTACTTCTGCCGTTGATGAATTCTCCAAAATGTCATCTGTTCAACGGGGCAGATTATTTTACATGAGCAGTGACGAGGTGAGCTCCCCTGAATCGGGGCCAACAACTGCAACAAATATTGCAGGTAAAATTAAAGGATTGACCACCGCAGAGCTGAATCACGAGGACAACTTGGCAAGTGGGGAAAACTTATATTCTCGAGATAAGAAGAACAATAACCCTGTGCAGTTTAGTTCCAAAATCAGAGGTCTTTTTAAATCAGATTCGTCGAGCCCAAAGCAGACTCAAGCTAGTTCCACTGTGGCTGGGTCTAAGCCTGGCACAGCGTCCAATGTTGAACATCAGCTGCAGCAAACTTTTAAAAGTCCTCCAAACCAGCAGCAGCGACGAGCCAGCCATTCCGAGAAGGAAATGATATCTTTTGATTCAAGACGCCGTGCCAAATCAAACATGGAGACGCAGTCTCAGTACTGGCCAGATTTTGCAAATGCCGGGAGTGAGCATGGCTCACCCAAGGGACACTATTTTGATGTACCAGACAGTCACAGGAGGAATGATGACAGGAGGAGGGAAGAGCACCTCGGTAGGGAGAGGTCGAAAAGTCAACCGACAACTTCCATCAACCTCTACCGTGGAGCATACAACGGAGAGGATGAGGATTATGCAGTGAATCCGTTGTACAAGCTGCACTACCACCAGAATATGGAGCACTGAGGCTGTTATAAACCTGGGCACAGCATGAGAACATCGTGCTCGGCCCACCATCAGAGAACTGATATTGTCAAACACCTGGCTTACCTTTGAGTTTTTTTGTTGTTGTTATGGGACTAGCTTAGTATCATTGTTGTACCTTGAAGTCTGTGGCAAAGGAAATGAGTTTTAATTATGGTTTTGTTTCATTAAAATATTTTTGTAATGGCACCAAACAGACTATTCTGCCTCAAGCCAGCTACATGGGATTATTTTCAAAAGTGCAAGTATCACATTACCTACACACATATACAAATATGTATAGTTAAGAATTTACCTAAACAGCTATCCAAATATATAATACATTGAAATTGTCTATTAAAAATGAGATATTCTTTAAATTTCCTGAAAAAGTTAAGAATGTACATAAACTGCACCTGACAGGTCGCTGTAAATTCAAGGTGTGTTCTTCAGGAGCACTCACCTGAAACAGCTGTACATTCTAAGTGTGTACTTCAGGAGCACTCACCTGAAACAGCTGTACATTCTAAGTGTGTACTTCAGGAGCACTCACCTGAAACAGCTGTACATTCTAAGTGTGTACTTCAGGATCACTCACCTGAAACAGCTGTACATTCTAGGTGTGTACTTCAGGAGCACTCACCTGAAACAGCTGTACATTCTAGGTGTGTATTTCAGGACCACCCAGCATTGCCATAATGCAGTGATATTGAGAGAAGTTTGAAGCTTTGAATGTACTAAAAAATCTCATTCTACTATGACAACTGCATATTCAAAGAACCTGTCAAGCATTTTGTGTATGGCTGTGAGTGTTGTACAGTAATAAAATTCCTTATCTTTCTTGGTAGTTCATATAATTTCTTATGAAAAAGAAGTATTTGCTTGTCTGTAGTGTCTTGTAATTGAGAACTGAATTTCTGTACAAATTGCATTGCCGTCTTTTAAAGCTATCACACGTGAGCTGTGTCAAGCTCCATCGTCCATTGTTTTAATTTGTTTTGGCATTACAGCACTGTTAGAATATGTAAAATGTGCAGTGTTCCAATATGTAAGATATGGCCTGGCATTACAGCACTGTTAGAATATGTACAATGTGCTCTGTAGAATAGTAAGATGGGACATTACAGCACTAATAGAATATGTCAGATGTGCTCTGTAGAATAGGTGAGATGTGGCATTACAGCACTGTTAGAATATGTAAAATGTGCACTGTTCCAATATGTAAGATATGGCGTGGCATTACAGCACTGTTAGGATATGTACAATGTGCTCTGTAGAATAGGTAAGATGTGGCATTACAGCACTGTTAGAATATGTATGACGTGGTGTTACTGTGCAGCACTGTATACATGTTATAAGACCTTTGATTAGGCTGTGCCAAAATGCTGTATACCTAGTATTCATTCACAACTGTGCAGCCAAGTGGGGAAGAAATAGTGTGCAAATTTGTAATGGCCCCCCAGAGCAAGATAATTGGTTGTTGGACATACAGTTTATTAATAATAGAAAATACTTAGTTTAGCCGCACATTATCTTTTATTTTAGTTTCAGTACAGCTGATTTTGTTGTCAAGCATAAAATGGCATTGTATCAACAACAAATAGAATTATGGGAAAACACTAGAAAAGATCTCCGTGCTAATGTAAACAACTTTGTCACAATTTCAGCATTGACCACCTTACCTCATCATTGTATCACCATCCAAGTGAACTTGTAGCACTGCTTGTAGACAACCCCTTTGCCCCTACAAACCCATTCTAGCACTACTAATAGACGTATCAACATTGCCCCATCAAACCCATTCTAGCACTGCAAGTAGACATCGCCATTGCCCCATCAAACCCTTCAATCACCAGAAGATGGTAGCATGACAAAAGCAGATATTGGTATTACCCAAAAGCTTTGTTATTGGCTTCCTTCAGTTATAGCACAAATTAGTGTTTGAATTAACCTAAAGTCCCCTTGGCTAGTCATCTCTGCTCTACATGACAACGTGAACTATTTTATTTTCACAATATCCAATTTTATTTTATAAATTAATTTTATGAGTCAGGTATTTAGTTTTATTTTTACCTTGAAGCCATGAAGCATTTTCTCTCATGTAAAGGTAAAAATCAAATGAGTTTTGTGTGTTCATTGAATACATTTTTGATTTTAATGCTCCTCTGCAATTACTGATCTCAGTTATTTATGTTTATGATTTAACCCAGAAAGTTTTTGTCTGTTGTCATCTTTTGTCTTGCTACTTCTCTATTCCAAATTGCTGAGACCTCATCATCAGACATGAATGAATCGTGATAATTTAAAGGTTTAGTAAGAAAGTGCTCATAACTATTTCAGTTTACATTATCTAAACGAGAAGCTCCTAACTTGTGCAAGGGGCTCCGCATGCAGTTCTCAGGGGCTCCGCATGCAGTTCTCAGGGGCTCCGCTGACGCTCCAGAAACTCCTATCCTATTAAATTGTAAGACATAGAGTAGACAAAGGGCTCCTCCATAGAAATTGAATCTAAATCTAAAAAGGGCTCCTCGAGGCAGAAAGATGGGAACCACTGATAAACTATCATTTTATCACATTTTATCCAGGATGATTGTTTTCAGTTACCAGTCTCCCACAAGAATAACTATTGCTATTCATGGGTCACAATTATGATGAACAAGTCAAGCACACAAAGAGTCAAGATTTTAAAGAAATCAAAATTTAGTGCTGCAAAATTTTTGTTCACCTGTGTGCTATTTAATTAAAATTTACTATAGGTCCTTTCAGAAATGTTGATGTAAGATAACTAAGGAAAGCATTTTGATCTTAAAGACCTTTTAGGGACACAGGTTTGCTTGAAGTATTTTTTTCCATAATGTCACCATGGAAATAGGAGCCCTGTCATTTTTTGGCATTGTGCTCAAGTGGTCTAGACTATAATCATTTAACATGATCAAGGATGTGTAAGCAAGTGATATAAGGTATTCCTAAGTAAGCATTCCTTTGTTGATTTGTAAAGATTATTTCTGTAAACAGTATTGTTCTAAAAATGATATCTTGCTTTATATGTTAAATCATATGTACTTTGGGTTTTAAAACAATAATTATATTTCTGTACATTTAACAGTAATTATATTTCTGTACATTTACCCGCTGTGAGTAGAGTGAGGATGGGACCGTGTTCTCTATTCAAAATGTTTGGTCATTTCAAGTGTAGATATTTTTTTTGTGTGGTTTTTTAATGGTTACATTTTTTTTATTCCATGTGGTGTATATTGCGTGTGTTATAATTGGCATAATATATATATACATATATATATGCAACGGTACATTTATTGTCTTTTGCTGTCAATTAGCTGTTTGTAAATATTTCAATGGCTGTAATACACAAAGAGTTTTTGAGTCTTTGAAATAATTGTTGTGCTAATTCGGTTACAATAACTTGGTTTTGAACAAACTGTAACTGAGTGATATGGTGAGATTCATTTTATACAAGCAAAGTAATATTAAATAAATTTCCTTTCACTTTCCGGTAATAGCATTATCTGAACATGTGATTTTCAAGCTTATTTTATGTGACATGCCCACACAACTGAATTCATGGAAACAAGTTTAAACTTATCTTAAAAGTTTAGGTCCCAAAAGATAATTTTTGAAAATAAATTAAAAAAAAAAATATTTAGTTAGTTTGTTTCATCTTTTAAACAAAAGGATTAAATTCAATAAAAATCAATTTCAATTGTTGTGCTGGCCTTTTTAAACATACCATCTCAAGCATTTCTGGGCAATCCCATCAATTTCAAGGTGCCATATATATATTTATTGTTTGGCCAATATTTAATCTTAATGGTTTTAGTTTTGACTTTGCGAGCTTGTGATTTGTTTCAGCTCCTCTGAATAGTTTAATGATCTATTAAATAAGTGTAGTATGAAGGTGCCTGTCTGTAGCTGTACATTTAATCACAAGGATGATGACACTCTGATAAAAAGATAAAAAAATAAAGCTCACTAAAATAGCTGCAAACAGAGACACGTTTCATTTCAAGTTCAGACTGGTGCTGACACAGCCGCGGCCATATTGCGTTATATATTGTTACCTTTATCTAACTTATTGAAAATGTAATTTGGAATTAGTTACTTCATAACTGGTTGGTTAATTTATTTTTTAAAAATTCAAGTGAATCATGAATGTCATAACTTAAGAGAAACTGTTTCTAAGCTTAGCAAAATAAATGAGGAAATCTCTTAGGGCTAATTCTAAAACAATTTTGATAAATTACGAAAGTGAGGATGAATAAATTTAAAACATTATTCGTAAAAGTTACCATCCAGGTGTTCTTTATCATTAATCATTAAAAAAAAAAAACAGGTTATGTCAGGAAAATGGGGTTCCTCTGGATTTATTAGAAGAAAGCAAAAGAACAATTACAAAATTTTACATTTTCTCATGGCACTGAAATAAAATGCTTCTCTCTGTGTCTGAGTACCATGCTAGTCATTTGCGACCATTAGCCAGCATTTTCATTGATTTTAGAACCAAATGAATTGTTATGATTGAGAAGCCCCTCATTTTGAGTGTGTTCAATTGAATTGCATTTTAAAAATTAATTATTGTGATTTTTGTATAACCAATTACAAGTGAATTTCAATTTGTTGTACAGGGCCAAATAATTTGTTTTATCTGTGATTTGCTGTAACATTCAGTTATGGCCAGTTGATTTGCTGAGAAATTTATTTACATCTATTATATTAAAATAATGATTGCTTCTTTTGTTGTTTATTAATTTGTATGATGATCAACAAATTTAACAGACTTGAAATTAAAGTAGTAAACAATTTTTATTTATTGCCATTCTAAATATTCAATCCAATTGAGATAAATTCTGATGATACATTTCAATAATCCTCCATCAACAACAACCCCCCCCCCCCTAAATTCTGATAATGATACATTTCAATTATCATCCTTCATCAACGTTCCCTAATATTCAATCCAATTGAGATAAATTCTGATGATACATTTCAATAATCCTCCATCAACAACAACCCCCCCCCCCTAAATTCTGATAATGATACATTTCAATTATCATCCTTCATCAACGTTCCCCCCCACCCCACCCCCACTTCATTTTTTTTCCTCCAAAATTGCCAGACACATTTTGTATGGGAAGATTCTCAAAAAAAATAAAAATAAATACCTTTACATTTCTAGAATGTACAAATATGTTTAATAAACAAAAACTTAAAACAATTTTTAAAATAAGCAAACTGAAAAATAATGTAAACAAAGTTTATGCCAAAAGACTAGTCTGCTAGAAGATTGCACGAGGTCAGGGACCTGACCAAAGGGTCATAAATAGCTCTGTTTACTGAGTATAGGCAGGGGCATTTGATTGACATATGTCATACTGACAACACACAGATCAATAATCTATGGAAGCAAGGCTAGAAAAATTCAGATCTATACAGTTTTAAACATATCTACATAACAGCACGGTATCAGTGATCTTGTTTAAGTTTTAAACATATCTACGTAACAGTATCAGTGTTCTTGTTTAAACATTCCAGGTTACCTCTAACAAGTATCAAGGTAATCTTATAACCTGCTCTTGCAAGAATCTGGAAACCAATTCTTACTTGCAATTAGTGAACACCAACCCCAAAATAAGCATTGAGCCCGAAAAAGGCTTTAGCTTGCTTGATTTCTCCACTATAATAGGTTTTATTTTGATTGATTTCTCCACTATAATAGGCTTTATTTTGATTGATTTCTCCACTATAATAGGCTTTATTTTGATTGATTTCTCCACTATAATAGGCTTTTATTTTGATTGATTTCTCCACTATAATAGGCTTTATTGTGATTGATTTCTCCACTAGAATACTAATGTTCTCTGACCAAACTGCCAGCTAAATTCTCATAATCCTAGTTAACATTACACATCTACACAAAATACTCACTCTTATCCCAGTCATTTTCTAAACTAACATCTGTTTTTGTTGAGCTCACATCTTGATCTGTCAGTTTTTCTTCTTGTGTCTTGTCATTATCATCAATTTTTGCATTCTCCAGTTGCATGCGTAGTGAGGAGACAACTGGTTTGATTTGGGCATTTTGATTAGAGTTCGGCCCATGGGCTTGTTCTGGAGGGAGACTTAGAGTGACGGTAACCTGCATACTGTTATTATTTACAGAGGAATTGTCCAAACCGCTTGTGACCTCGGGGGACTTGGCTGATGCTTTTTCTTCGTCTTCCTGCAAAATGGGACTTCCACCGCCTGTTGGATCATCACTACAATCATTTGGCATGGGGCTGAGAAGCGCCGCCTTATGATCTAATCCACCGTGACTGGTACCAGGTTGAGGGATTATATCTTCAATGTCTTCAACGTCTGACTTATCCTGACACGAATGACTGCCATTGGTGGATGACTCCGACATATCCATGTCATCCTGTTGGCTGCTAGGATCAGATTTCTCGCACGCTTCTCCAGTGAACATCCGCGCCCTCTCAAGAAAGCCCTCAAGGTAACTGAGTCTAGGAGGGAGACTGAGGCGGGACCAGTGGCCCCGTGTGATGGCAGACCTGTCTTCATAACAGTGGCTGTCGTCATTTGATTCTGTGATGATGCTGTTCTCCGAGAAGTCCATATTGATGAGTTCAACCTGTGCACATCAATGACAGACATAAACTTATTTCATCAAACACAAGTTGGTCAGCAAATGAAAACATACCCACAAAGAGACTAAGTTAAATGTTGATTTTGTCAAAAATTTGAAGATTATCACAGCAGTGTCCCTCACATAGCAACTTAAATTAATTGCATTTTTCATTTAACAGATATAGTTTTTATACAAAAATGTAAATGAAAAAAAGCACCACCAAAAAACTGGTTATATTAATATTTTTAGTAATAACTATTTAAAACAAGTTTCTTATTAAAACTTGAATGAACTATTTGTTATTGGAAGTAGTGGTTTCTTTGTCCTAGAGCAGCGGGTCTCAAACTGTGGGTCGCGACCCCTTTGGTGGTCGCAAGACCCTATCACGGGGGTCGCCCAAGACCATCGGAAAACACACATACTCTACTGTTATGAAGTAGCAACAAAAATAATTTTGTGGTTGGGGGGTCGCCACAACATGAGGAACTGTATTTTTAAGGGTCGCATCATTAGGAAGGTTGAGCAAAGTGTCCTAGAGCAAGTTTGACAACTTAAAGACTTCTATAAATATTTTATCTAAAAGCAAGCGTTCATTTTGATATTTCATTGTCTGCTTTTCAGCTTAAAGCTCAGGACTTGTACTCATCTATGCAAGTATTTCTTCCCCTCCCTTAAAGCTCAGGACTTGTACTCATCTATGCAAGTATTTCTGCCCCACCCTTAAAGCTCAGGACTTGTACTCATCTATGCAAGTATTTCTGCCCCACCCTTAAAGCTCAGGACTTGTACTCATCTATGCAAGTATTTCTGCCCCTCCCTTAAAGCTCAGGACTTGTACTCATCTATGCAAGTATTTCTGCCCCACCCTTAAAGCTCAGGACTTGTACTCATCTATGCAAGTATTTCTGCCCCACCCTTAAAGCTCAGGACTTGTACTCATCTATGCAAGTATTTCTGCCCCTCCCTTAAAGCTCAGGACTTGTACTCATCTATGCAAGTATTTCTGCCCCACCCTTAAAGCTCAGGACTTGTACTCATCTATGCAAGTATTTCTGCCCCACCCTTAAAGCTCAGGACTTGTACTCATCTATGCAAGTATTTCTGCCCCTCCCTTAAAGCTCAGGACTTGTACTCATCTATGCAAGTATTTCTGCCCCTCCCTTTAAATTCTCTATACAACACTAAAGCTATGAGGTGCAAATGGGCATAATAACTATTTACCTGGTCATCATCCAGCATCGGGCCTGTGCTTGCAATGCTTTCGGTATCAGAGCTGTCGGATGGAGGCTTCAGAAATGCACCACGATTGCTAGAAACAGACATGGTGTCACTTCTGCCAGATGAAATTCGGTCAGCTGATGGCGATGATGGTGTTGGTGACGTCAGCTGGTGTCGAAGGGACGCCGATGGCGGTTGGACATGGGTAGGGGGCGGGTTCCATGTCGGGGAGTGGTGATTGTTGGAGGAATGGTTGGAGATGGTGTAGGAGGCGCTCAGTGTGGATGGGGCGGTTTTAGAGGAGTAGGATGAAACCTTGGCGACGTTCATCACCTTGTTCAGATGTTGTGTTATTAAAGACGTCGGAGGCCTGGGAACAGGGGTCTGCGACGGTTGAGATGTAGCTAGGGGATGTCCACTTTTGTCAACAAAATACCCCAGCTGCTGTGTTGTGATCATAGGCTTGGGGCTTAGTTCGATGGATGAGGTAGCCGAGTTAGAAGAGGTATTGATAGGTGAGTGCCCCGATGAGGAATTCAGACCTGCTGGATCCACACGCAAAATGAGACCTTGGAGTTTTGGAGATTTCCTATGTAATGTTGGAGAGCTCGGCTGACAGGTGGTGTCGGGTGAACCGTCAGAGGTAGGTACACCGGAAAGAGTTGAAATGGACAGAGTGTGTAGAGATGGCGGCTGTAAGACTGGAGGCCAGTGGATTTCGTAAGTGGGTTTTCTGGTCATCGCTCTCATCAGATCACTGGTCAGAGACGATGAAAGCTCCTGGTTTGGTGACTGGTCGACCGACAGCGATGAGCATGAGGCATCAATCAGACTTTTTGATTTAACAAAGCTCCTTTGCTGGGGTACCGGTGATTTGTTGACCCACTCCTGGGCACGCCGCACGCTGGACTGACTCAGCTCCATATCTCTGATGTGTGATCCTGACGGCGAGCAAGATAAAGTAGAAGCGTTCGACTCTTTATCCATGGAGCTGGATTTGTGAAACTCATGTTGTCTTTTGGCAGAATCATGAACTTCAAAAGACAGAGGTTTCAGGTTCTCTGCTACAGGGGCCCCGACATTGGCATTTTCGTTGTCTTCCAAACCTTCCACGATACTGTCGCTCCTGGACCACCCCGGGCCACCTTGACTTGTACCCCCTGACATTTCTATGGCAGCTCTGTAGCTAGAACTACGGGTACGGTTAGGGTAGATGACACATGGCAGATTACTATCCTGACCTGTCCCATGGGTTTGGCTTGTATCTGAATGATGACCAGGAGGGGCTGACATATCCTTTAAGCCGGGAGATGATTCTCTACAGTCAGACAAAACAGTTTTGAAGACAACAACATCTAAGGGATCTGGCTTAAAGATCCCATCTTTCAACAGGGACTCTGTGATAGAAGTCTTTTTGCGGAATGCTGGCTCATGGCAAACAATACCGGTTGGTTTGCTGGAACAACAACAACACAATAAGGCTAAATAAAACTTGTGAATCCACAAACAAATAATTCAATGAGCATCTGTCTGACTTTGTGAGGTGATGTGGCTTCTTAAAGGGGCATCCAGATGTAAAACAATGACAATCCACTGTAATTGTTAACATATTTAAACAAACGTGTTAACACAAAACTGTTGGGTCTGTTGTGGGTTGTGACAGTTACAGAATGCGATTGTTTAGCGATGACAGTGATAGGATAGGCAGCTTGTGGCATAAGACAGTTATGAGATGTGATTGCTATGAGATGTGACTGTTGCAGGGATGAGACAGATATGAGGTGTGATTGCTATGAGATGGGCCTGTTGTGGAATGTGACAGCTATTGTATGACTGCTGTGAGATGTGACAGCTATGAGCTGTGACTGTTGTAGGATGTGACAGCTAAGGCAAGGATACAGAAAAAGTCTTTCCCACCTGTTTAAATGACTGACATTGAGAACTGTCTCAAAACTGCGTGATGTTTTCCCCCTAGGACCACTGTCAACATCTCTGTGAAAGGTATGTGACGATGCACTCCCTTCAATATTGGAACCTGAAATTATAACAGGCCATTTTATTGTATGACTGTAGCGGGAATCAGATAGACTTGTCACTATGCAAAACAAAAGCTTAAGTTAAAAAGATGTAATTTTATCATTTCTTTTCTAGTCAATTGAAATCTATCAACACCATAATTTTAATAGTCGGATATTGGCTGTATCTAATTCTCCTGGTTGGTGCGCGGATGGCTGATAGGCCTACTCTGCCATGTAATGTTATTGTGCAGTTGGTGCAAGGCTCGGTGCTTTTTTGCACTGCAGCTGCTGTTCTGTTGACTTCATGTTATATTGAGCCTTTGTGCAAAGAGGAACGTCACGATGCTTGATATTATGTCAGATCTTCATATTATCCAGGTTTATATCGAATGCTATCAGTGATGCATTTGGGTTGACTTCTGCTCACCAGCAAACCGCCTTCAGTGCTCAAGCTCGCTTAAAACATTTTTTTTGGCTGGCAAGTGGTCATCTGAAATTCTCACATGTCCTTATCTGCGCGAAGCTCAGACTACTTTCAAATGGTAAAGATGCTTGGGAGACCAGCCTTGGGAGACCAGCCTTGGGAGACCAGCCTTGGGAGACAAGCTTTGGGAGACCTGCCTTGGGAGACCAGCCTTGGGAGACAAGCCTTGGGAGACCTGCCTTGGGAGACCAGCCTTGGGAGACCTGCCTTGGAAGACCTGCCTTGGTGTCTAAGACACTGTCCTGCTATTAAATGCTTGAGCACAGCCACCTATTAGACTTATATTTTGAGTGCTGATACCTCTCCTGGTCAATACCTACTTCAGACAAATTGCCATAGGTTGCACTGGTTCTTGCATTACAGAGGTTAACCTCGTGATTGATGGTCCATACCTACTAAGACATTTTTCCATAGGTTGCACTGGTTCTTGCATTACAGAGGTTAACCTCGTGATTGATGGTCCATACCCACTAAGACATTTTGCCATAGGTTGCACTGGTTCTTGCAACACAGAGGTTAACCTCGTGATTGATGGGCAATACCTACCAAGACATTTTGCCATAGGTTGCACTGGCTTTTGCAACACAGAGGTTAACCTCTTGATCAAGAGTTGCACTTTGGGGCTGTGTTCTACCAAGGTTAGAGAAACTTTCTACTACTTCAAGCATTAGGCCATTTACTTGAATGTTGGGCTGAGCATTAGGTTTTCAAGGAGCTGGCTGGTGTAGGACCTCAGTCTATTTTATGTTAATGTTGAGACTAAAATTTGTGCAGGCATTTGAGAAATTTGCAACAACACATAGTATATCTGCTTCTTGTCCAAGGTTTAGGGCACAACCGTTGGCACACATAAAGCCCATAATCATGTCTAACAGGACCTTGGATTTGGCATGTAACCTCCTGAGATTGAATAACTTGCCATGGATTTGGTATCTGATACCGATCCCAAAGTCTCTCTTTCTGAAGGCATCAGTCAGCATGAGGTTTCGACTTGGTGATTTTCCCAAAATGTGGATTCCATACAATGTTCCAGAGCATCCAAAAAAACTTTTCCACTTTGGTGCTGAGATGTTTAGGAGTCTTCTTCCTATGTGGACATCTTTTGGGTTGGGTGTGAAGGTTGAGCTTGGTGAAAATAAGACTATGATCTGTCCAGCAATCAGCACCACACATTGACTCAGCCACACACATGTTCAGACCATCCTTCCAGGTGATGATAAAATAGTCAATGAGATGCGAATGTTTGGAGCCAAGGTGCATCCAACCAAGTCTGGAGAAAAAGAAGACGTTTGCTGTTGCATTGGCTCACTTGATATTTCAATAGAAGCCCATCCCAGGTGATGTGGTCACAGCTCACTTTAGCATTGAAGTCAACAAGAATTATAACATAGTCCTGTCTTGAAACGGCAGCTGTGACAGAGTGAAGATCTTCATGGAACTCGGTCTTTGCTTCATCTGTGTTGGTCATTGTTGGAGGCAAAGAGGATGATGATGGGTAAGTGTTTTCTTCCAGACTAAAAGAGTGAGTTTCATCCATGTGAGATAATCATGTAGCTTCTTATTCTTATACTCACTGTATTGGTGATATAAAAAAAATATCCTTTGAATATCAGACTGAGATAAAAAAAAAATAATTAACGACCAAACCTACCTTTTTCCCATGATGGTGGAGGGGAAGGAGACTCCGCCCCCACACCGGCACCCCTAACCCCGAGCTCAAGCTTCTGTCTACGCTCCAGCCTCTGTCGATGAATGTCATCACTGATGGCCTCAAGACTTCGAAGGGCCTGAGAGTAGAGTGCCTTGGATGAGGCTACATCTTCCTCAAGTCTACTGACAGCTCTTTTATGTTCCTGCAGACAAAGTTGACAGCCATGAGGACTCACAAAGGTTTGCAATCATGCATCACAAACAGTCGTGGAGCGGCACACTCTTTTCACCCAGTTTAGCTAAGATGGGGATATCTCTAGCTATACACAATATGAAAGTTAACAGATACATATGAACATAAATATAGCACCTTTCCTCCCCAAGATCTTCCTTCTCACTGATGTTAATACCGGTAATTTGATCATAAGATGTAAATAGTTATCAACTGCTAATGAAATATAAACAACTCATAACCTCAAGTAATATTTCTATCAAACCAAATAGGCTAGCGAGCCTTGATTACATCTCATATTTTATTGTATCACAACTCCATTTATAGAAACACAGATTATCAATTCCTAGAAGAAAGATAACATTTGATTCCATCATGGGTTTACTTTGAATGACTTCCACCCTGGCTGAACCTCCTTTTTTTAATGCTAAATATAAAAAAACCTTTCCCAACCCCTTGGTACACCACTGATCCCCATTAAATTGATAGGAGAGATTTAATTAGAAAGCACTAGGCAATGTTTTGTGGAGTGTAAATTAGCTCAAATGAAAAGGCGTACAGACTACAAAACTACAAGTAAAATATTGGGCACACATTGACACCTGAAGCCTCACCTCCATGACTTGGTTGAATTTAGCTTTCATTTCAAAGTATGGCCTGTAACAGACAAACACTAAACATTGAACAGCTGAAAATCAGGTTAAATAAAGAAAAAAAAGTTTTCCAATGAATTCGTATTTTACAGTAAAATTCAGTACATCAAGTTTGAGTCTTAACGAGTGCCTCCTTTAATATATTGCACAAAGCAGATGTGGGAATTTAAAAACATGAAGAAAAAAAACAGCAATAATAATCATTATAAATATGGTATATCAGCAACTCCATTTGTTCTGCAAAGTATTGAAATATTTGTACACAGTATTCAATGTTTACTTGGATTTGGTGATGTTCCTCTTTAGGTCTTTCTGTAGCTTTTGTACCTCCTCCTCCCTGTGTTTGAAGTTCAGTGTTGTCTGCTGGTGAAATGCCTCACTCTCAATCCTCTCTCTCTCTGCATCATTAACCTGATGACAAGGTCAACGTCAGCATGTCATCAATATTTTGAACAGTTTTCTTGACTTAAGCTATGCGAGCAGAATGATGACATGAAGTGAGAGAGCCCAGTTTATTGATGATGTAACAAAGACTGGTGATTGCATAAATCGCATGGGAAAGCCCAGTGGTACTTGACATGACACCATGAGGACAAGAACAAGAAAGAATGGACATGGAGGTTTCTAGACACTGTCCTTCCCTGACCATCCCACTAAATAAACCACATGCGTACATTGTCCTAAATAAACCACATACATACATTGTCCTTTTGATATGGTTTATAATAAATAAGCGAGTCGAATCTTTTGATAGAAGATTAAGAAATGTAAATAGTCACGAGTATCTCGCACAGTGTCAGCAACATTTTGATTTCCTACAAAGTTGAGATTGTATACAAAGGATGTGATTGTGCTTAATTTGTTAAATTAAATGAATAATCTGGACAGCTTGTTAAATAACTCAACAAACTGGACTGACTTCTTGATAAATAACTCAGCAACTGGGCTGACTTCTTGTTAAATAACTCAACAACTGGACTGACTTCTTGTTAAATAACTCAACAACTGGACTGACTTCTTTTTAAATAGCTCAACAACTGGACTGACTTCTTCTTAAATAACTCAACAACCGGGTCGACCTTCGTTAAATAACTCAACTATGGATTATTTTGAAATTATTGATGAAATTATCTTTTTGTGAGGACACAAGTTTCACTGCATTTCACTATCTCAAATTATTTCATCGAGTTTCATTAAATACAAACTATTTAAGTAGGGATATCTCATTTTATTTTCTGGCAACTTACCTTCATGGTGGCATGGTTCAGCATCTCCTGCCAGGTGGGATCCAGATCTTGTTCTCGCCTTTTATATCCTTCCTCGGCAAGCTGCACCATTTCCTTGGCTGCCTCATGCATGCTGCACGCCCTCTCAAATCTCAGTGCGGCTTTCTGACTCTCAAGGTGAGCCTGGAGATTTAACAAAACTTTTGATCAAACGTTATGTAAAACACAAATGTCATTGACTGTGAATAAAATTGTAAGCATTGCTTTTCAAATATTTTAACCCATTGACATTTGACAAGTTTTAAAATCTTCTTTACATTAAAAAATATCTTGAAATATTTTATTGCCCTTCAGCACTGACAGATTTGTGTTGCTTCAAGTTATTTGAAAAACATTGACTTAATTAACACTATGGTTCGTTTTAATCAAACACAGTAAACATTTTATCGACTGTACATTTGATGAATGTAAAAACCAAGCAAGGAACACATAAACGTAAGAGTTTTATTCAAGGAACATTAATTAAAAAGTTGCAAATAATAGCCTAAAAATATCAAGCCATATCCTTTCTTAATTTCTATCAAATATTTATATCTTCATTTACAAAATGATATATTTGTGTTATATTAATTATAGTTCACTTTAGTCTTTAAATTTAGTATCTAAAAGTTTGAAGGAGATCAGTGAAGGCCAAAATTCCACCAACCCCTGGCACAAAAGGAGGAGGGTTTGGGTGAGGCCAACTACCACACATGTAAAAAAAAAAAAACTTTAACAGAAATGTCAACATGAGAAAAAACAAAAACAAATTTCATCCCTGATAATTACACGCTGAATGTCTTGCTACAGACTAATATTAAGGAACAACGGAAAACTCAAACAAGCCTTTCAAGGGCTGAAAAAAATATGTACGATGAGTGTAAAAAAACAAATTTCCATTTATTTGGATCAATAAAAATATCTTAGCTTATCCTATAAGAGTGGGCTCTTCTGCCTCAAGAAGAGTTATGAAGTCTTGCAGCCATACTGGAAGCCCCAAAGCCGAGGATTCTCCTTTCAAAGGCAACAAGCATAGGCTCGTGGAATGTTAGAACCATGTACGAAACAGGAAAATAAGGACGAGTGGCAGCAGAAATGAGAACATACAAGCTCACACTACTCAGCATTTGTGAAACAAGATGAACACAAGCTGGACACATAACATTGACAGCGGGAGAAACAATAATATACTTAAAGCATCAGGAGGAATATGCTCCACACACATAAGGGGTAACTTTTATGATGTCACAAGGGGCATTGATAGGATGGGAAGTCCATGGTCAAAGAAATTTTTATTACAGCAACTTTCCAAACAAAGTAGAAGAAATAAAAAAAAATGAATGTAATACAGTGCCATGCACCCACCAATGATAGTAAGGAATACATACAGTGCCACGCACCCACCAATGATAGTAAGGAAGACATACAGTGCCACGCACCCACCAATGATAGTAAGGAAGACATACAGTGCCACGCACCCACCAATGATAGTAAGGAAGACATACAGTGCCACGCACCCACCAATGATAGTAAGGAAGATGAAAAAGAAGCCTTCTACAATAGACTACAAGCTATACTAGACAAATTTAAAAATAGCCCCAGTCAATGCGCCTTTAAAAGATCCTGAACAAACAATGGTTAAACGTCATTACTAATAAAACCTTACTGGAAAGAACATACCGAGACACTATTGCTGAAGACATCATAAGGACAAATATGGAGGTGGATAGGGCACACTCTTCATAAACCCCCAAGATAACATCACCAGACAATCCCTATTATGGAATCCACAGAGAAAAAATAAGAGAGGAAGGCCAAAGAATATATGGAGACGTGACTTAGAAGAGGCAAACAAAAAGTATGGGATATACTTGGAAAAGGAAGCAGAGGACCACGATAAATGGAAAATACTTGTAGAAGGCCTATGCCCCAGGCGGGATAAAAGGCGTAAGTAAGTAAGCAAGTGAATACCAAAAAAAAAAATCATTAAAAAATCTAGGGAACAAACATTATCAATTTACAAAATATAGGGGTACTATTCTTTTATTGGAAAATGTGAAATATTGTTAGCTTGTATTGTTATTCTTTAAATAGAAAGAATGCTCTATATTTATGTCATATACCTCTTTAAGCCTCATTCTGGCATCATAGTAAGGACGGGCCTTGTCAACACAGGCTCCCAACTTCTTAGCTAAACCATTGAGACGTTGAGTTGAGTCAGACAACACGGTACGGAATGCAGCTCGAGCATCCTAAAAAAAAACCACATTTAATAATTGCACAGGTTTTGATAATCTCTTGCACTTCTGCAGCATAAAAAGTATTTATTTTCTTATCTATTATTAAAAATAATGGTTTAACAGGCCTAATATAATGATATGCAAGAGTTTAAAAGAACTATTTACTACATTAGCTATGTGATTGTTTTATCATATCCGCATTCATATGGTTTAATATTTGAAAATCTTCAATAGTCTTATGCATTTCTCTGATGATTGAATTTTAAAAAAATAAAAAACAACTTACATCTAATTCCAGTTCAAGCCTGTTAATTTCTTCACTGGCTCGATTCAGCTTTTCCAGCTCAATCTTAAAAACAAAATGTGTACACGGTAAAGCAAGGATTAGCACATAAACTGACTTTGAGAAGAGAAAACGGTTTACAATTTCAAGAGATGCAACTGGAATAATAATTAAATAATAGATGTAAAAAAAATGGTTTCATTTTATATTTAATAAAATCATAAAGTTCAAGTATTTATTATTTTGTGACAGATGCAATTATAGCTTGCAACTCTAAATGATGATTTCAATCATTATTACAACACTTTGTGTAGGCTATATGGTCAGTAGGGGTGTGCCGGATCCGTTTTTTCCAACCGGATCCGGATCCGGATTTTCTTATGCGAAATCCGCCGGATCCGGATTCGGATCCGGATTCCGGAATAATCCGGATTCCGGAATAATCCGGATTCCGATTTCTCCCGGATTCCGGTACTATTGGTAGATACTTCGGTAAGTCAAGGTGGACTACAACTTTTTGTGTATGGGAATTCGCAATCGGCGCCAAAAAATCTGAGTTTTTAATTTTCCGATGTGTGTGTCTATTTATTATTAAATTAGTACTTTCGATATATATTTGAGTTCCGTTCCATTTGGATATGTGTCTTACGAGAGACGCCATGTTTCTACGCGTTCGCAGCAGGTTATGCAGCTCGCTCAACCTAATTTCGCCATGGGGTTGGCCACGCCCCCCTTTTTAATGGCGGAAGTTGACGATACTTAGGAAATATTAATTTATTATCACTATTTACATCAAAATAATTGATAACTTGTGTTTCAGAATGCATTTAAAGACATTTAAACTGGAATGTTTTAATTTGAGCTTTAACAACCCGGTAGAATCCATATTATAAATGATCAGAATTTACCGTGTGCAACACGTTGTCATTGGCAACCATTCACAGCCACTTGCATAACTGTATCGTAGTACTACCTCAGAGTTTCATTCATAAGAGTTTGCCGTGTGCAAAAACTATTAAACCATTGGTCAGGGAAAGCTTTAATTAATTATTCATGTGCCAAAGTTGAAAGTTTAAACTAAGTCTAAACAGTATTTTAGTGATAAGGCAGGGAATGCGTTGCCTTATATAAACTATATAGTCATTGCGCATGACGGGATTGGCGGAATGAGATCACAGAATGTGGAGATGCAGTCCATGTTAAAAAATGACAAACCAAGTCGTACTTTAAAAATTCATAACTTTAAAACTACAACAGCTAAAAATATGATTTTGGTGTTATAATTCTTTAAAAAATTACATCTTTTCAACTATGCCATTGGTTTATTTTTACAAAAAGTTTAAATTTTCTTATCAAAGTCCCTACACTATTGGCCACTATTAGCGGTGCTGACTCTAGCCTCTGGTATGTACGGAATATTAAACATTAAACAAGCTCAACGCTCGAAACAATCGATTAATGTATCGTGATCGTGTGGAATTCGGGAAAGAGAATTACTTTTATTTCAGATTATGATCCGGTGTGTCACAAAATCTGGCAAATTCCGAAATCCGGTATATTCCGGATTCCGGAATCCGGTTGTTCCGGATACATGTTAATCCGGCGGAATCGGATTTCACCGGATAGTGCAAAATCCGGCGGAACCGGATTCCGGACCGGACTCCGGCACACCCCTAATGGTCAGCACATGACTTGTAAGATGAAATAAACTGCTTTTGAAATCTTCCAAAACAAAACAGTAGTTGTAGTAGTGATAATCCATGGAGTTAAAATACCACTAACCTGAATTCTTGGGTCAAGTTCTTCTTCCTCATGCTCCTCTCCCCCAGATGGTGTACGATGTCTTCGAATGTGATGATGGTGATGATGAATGTAATGTGAAGGTGGGGACTGACTGATGTAACTGTCCGACATCTTCACCAGTCACATCCACAGAAGTGAATCCAATGCAAAATTTATTTACAATTGCCAGAATTTCAGGGAAAATTTCAGCTCCATTAAATAAAGAAATGCTTTAATATGAAATTAATGGATATCAAAAAAGTTTCCTATAAGTTACATTTTTTGTTTTACAGCTTTTGCTGAAAGAAATCAATAAAATTCTTTATGTGTTGTCTCCTTTGATAACTTGGGAATTTATTTTCAATGCCATTTCCGAGTCTTAATTTCAGTTTCCCCTTTTTTTAAAACAAATTTTACAGAAGGTTATAAAAAATAAATAGATGCTGAAATGAAAGACAAAAAAAAATCATGTTTATGGCCTGCCTGTATTAAAATTGTGCAATTAAATAGTAAAATGTTTTATTTTTTGGAGACATTTTTCTGAAGTTGGAATAAAAAATGAAAGTGGATGAAAATTTAATTAGATATGTTCTAGGACATTAATTATAAGCTTAGTCTAAGGAGAAGAGCAAAGATACCCCTGCTCCCACTGCATGGTGCAAATATTGTGATGTAATTTGTATATAGTTAGTTCAAATTAAACAAAAATGTTTAATAAATGATAAACACTAGTATTGCTACATATATTAGATAGTATTTTAATTACCAAAGAAGGCTATACAAGGGGGCGATCCATAAGTTAAGACCAGCATCTGGCTGGGGGGGGGGGGTTTATTTGCAGAATGTGTGACAATATGTTTTTAGGATGTCTAAATTCCTTGTAAAATTTATTACAATTTAGGGGGGAGAGTCTAATACTAATACCATTTACATATTTTTTGCAAAATTCAGAACCCTCACAATACATTGTCACAAATTAAAAGCACACTTAATGGCATTTTTTATTAATGCTGGATGAAAATAAAAATGATTTTCTGAAAGTTACAATGAAATTCACCATGACTATTAGTTGTAGTTATATATTATAAATACTTATTCTGTAAATATAAATAAGCATAATAGGGTGCCTATAAAATATGTTATTTAATAGTATTGTCATTGTCTATAGTCTTTAGTCTAACTTTCTTTAACACTGGATGCAGCAGAGCAAAGGAAAAAGACAAACAATCCAAGTCCAAGTCAAAAGTGCTTATGGGAAATTATTAAATTGAATTTAAATTAGTTTAATTATTATTATCTAAATTATCTTTCATTTTCATGCCATGCATGGTTCTGGAAATAATGAAAAAAAATTAGTAAAATAATTTAAGTATTGCAAAAAATATCCAAAAATTTAAAATTTTACTGTAAAAATATTAATATTGTTTGGGAAATTGAATGTAAGTAACTTAATGAAAAATCAGAATGAAACTTGAAAGAAATTCGTACATTCAAAGTTTTAAATAAATTATAAGATAAAATTTAATGAAAATGTCCAACTAGTCCAACCAAGAATACAATTAGTTGAGTAATTAAGGCAACAAATTTATTTATAAAACCTTGAGCATTGCGCTATTTGTTTAATGTCACATTTAAGAATACATCGTGGTTACAAATACATGTTTGCAATACTTAGGCCTAATAATTCATGATAAATTATCTGGTAACCCCTAGGCCTAGGCCTACAGCTTTTGCTTTATTTTTATTACAGTTACTGTTGCTGTTGCTATTAGCTAACAATCTGCTAGTAAAAATTTGTGGAGCTTTTGTCTTATCAATATTTTCTACTTTAAAAGAAAAAAATTATCTCAGCATCACTGATATCGGAATGAATACTATTTTTAAATATAATATTTTGAATGCAATTTATAAAAGAGAAACATTTAAAAAAATAATATTTAACAAATAATAAAGACCTAATTATTTTTATCATGAACACAAAAGTAATAGACATAAATATTCGTGTAATTTTCGCAAAATAATTCTAAGTATAAAAGTAGTCGATAAACTTTAAGATCCAAAAGGTTAAAGTTTACATGATTGTAAATTTAGGTGGGCGGCGGCTTAATAATGTTATGACTTTATAAAGAATAGGTCTCTTTGAAAAGGTAAAGGTGGCCAAGACTACTGGAAGCCTTCAACTGAAGCACTTAAGGTAAGTTCCCAGTCTCGTAATTATGTATTTAAAATTTTAGGTCTAATATTTCGCTTAATTTGATTGTCTGTCTGAAACAATAGTTTAAACTTGTCTGGGTATTGTTGCATAGACAAGTCTTTAAAACCGTTTTTCAACACTTGTCAGTTGATACGCTTACCACCCCCACCCCCGTGTGTGTGCTAGGACTAGGGGGTTGCAAACGGGGTGACCGTCCAAGGCCCCACGCTTGTAACCCTTATATTATTATATATTATCAATTTAGCCATGTCTATATAAACTATATTCATGGTTCACAATTTCGATAAAAGGTGTGTCACTGTGTGTGTGTGTGTGGGGGGGGGGGTAGCCCATTTATTATTAAGTATAGGCAGGCAGTACTAGAAATTATGAATGATCAGTCTATTTCCTGGACTATCAATCCAAACTGAATATTCTGAAGACCCAAAAGCACATGTGTCAAACTCAAGGCCCGCGGGCCACATCCGGCCCACCGTACATTTACATCAGGCCCTAGAGGTCTTGACCGGGTTACAATTATTTTTCACCCGAGAGATAATTTTAGGCAAAAATATTATTTAACAGTCCTGCAATATAAAGTGAAAATCAAATTCCCTAAATAGCAGCCTTGCCGACGATGGCATACCTCAGAGCGTTCTCGCTTCGATCAGAATAAGCAAAACTAAAAGTTTTAAAGTGAGTGGATGCTCGTCGTGACAGTAACGTTTTGGATTGGCGCATAAGAAATGAAAGTAGTGTAGTGCTCGGATATTGCATCACCTTTTCCAATGTGATAACAATCAATCGTATGTCAGTAGATGCTCAATCTTGTTGTTTTTTGTTTTTTTTCTTTAATAATTTTTTTTATTTTTTACTCAAAGCTAGCCTTAAAATGCCAAAGAGAAAATTTGATTCTGAAAACAGAGCCCTTCAAAGTCGTTGTGAGGCTAAATAAATGTTTACTGATATTGGCGGTAAACCTGTGTGTCTAATTTGTGGAGCTAATGTGACTGTGATCAACGAATATGATCTGAGACGGCATTACGAGAATAAACATCAAGAGAAGTTAAAAAGCCTGAATGCAGAGCAGAGCTAGAGAAGGTAGAAGAATTGAAGATAATTCTAACATGAAAGCAGACGTTTTTTCACCAAAGCAAAATCACAAACTGAAGCTGCTGTGAAAGGAAGTTTTATTGTGGCGGCGAAGATCGCAAAATCAGACCGACCATTCACAGAAGGAGACTTTCTGAAGTGCTGCATGATGCTAGTGTGTGACGTCTTGTGTTCAGACAAAAGCAGAGGTTTGCAAATTTAAGCCTTAGCAGAAATACGGTTGCTGATCGAGTTTGTGTGATGGCCACAACTGATCGAAATAGGCAAAGACTTTGATGCATTCTCACTTGCTGTCGATGAAAGTAATGACACGACTGACACTGCACAGCTCACCACCTACATCCGTGGAGTGGACTCCAGTTTGAATGTTACAGAAGAAATATTGGACTTGAAATCCATGCATGGGACAAAGACAAGAAAAGACATTTTTGACAACATATGTCAAAGTTTAACCAACATGAACCTGCCTTGGGACACACTTGTTGGACTTACAACAGATGGGGCACCGGCCCATGTGCGGCGAACAAAGTGGACTAGTAGGAAGGATGCGGTTAAAGATGCAGGTGAACTCCACTAGTGAATTGATAGCATATCATTGCATCATACACCAAGGATCCGAGTGTGATAAAGTCCTCAACATGGAAGGTGGAATGAGCACTGTAACACAAACCGTCAACTTGATCAAAGCCGAATGTTTAAATCACCGCCAATTTCAGTCTTTTCTTTTTTTTTCAACGTTCGGCGATATGCCTTATCATACATTGGTGCGTTGACAAAGTCGGGGAAAAGGTCTTGGTAAATTGTTTCGGCTGATCGAAGAAATCTGTCAATTCGTGGACAGCAAAGGAAAAGACTCCATCGTTTTTAAGGATAAAAAGTGGGAATATGAGTTGGCGTTTCTGTCTGACATAACCACTCATCTCAACGACTTGAACCTGCTGCTCCAGGGACGGGACCACTCGATCACTGATATGCATGATGCAGTGAACGCATTTCAAGTGAAGCTGCGCTTATGGGAGACACCAGTGCACCAGTTCAACTTGTTTCACTTTTCTTGTTGCCAAACAATGTTGAACCAAGTCAACGCTATGGTGTTTCCCAATGTTGAACCAAGTCAACGCTATGGTGTTTCCCAATGTTGAACCAAGTCAACACTATGGTGTTTCCCAATGTTGAACCAAGTCAACGCTATGGTGTTTCCCAATGTTGAACCAAGTCAACACTATGGTGTTTCCCAAAGTTGAACCAAGTCAACGCTATGGTGTTTCCCAATGTTGAACCAAGTCAACGCTATGGTGTTTCCCAATGCACACTTTGCTGAAAAAACTTAACATAACTTCGCGCTGAATTTGCACGCGCTTTAGTGACTTTGAAGCACAGAAATGTAAACTCGAGCTGTTTCGAAACCCATTCGACATAGACGTGGAGATGGCACCTGTACATTTGCAAATGAAGCAAATAAAGCTGCAGTGTTATGGGACACTAACGGCACAGTACTACACTGTGGGGTATGCACAATTCATTCGCTTAATTCAAGAAGAGATGCTTCGTCTACATGCGGCGCGAACCTTGAGCATATTGGCTAGCACATATCTGTGTGAGCAGCTGTTTTCTGTGACTAAGATTAACAGAACGTCACACAGGAGTCGTCTCACTGATGCTCACTTGCCGTCCATCATGAGAATCTCAATGGCACAAAACGACATTACCAACATAAACGAACTTGCAGCCAAGAAAACACACCAAACATCCAGCTCTGACAAGTTGACATTAGGATGAAAACGGGCATGGCGATGGTTCTTAATTATGAAAACTTATTATTTTGTTTTAATTTATATTGATGTTAAAAAGGGTTTAATCTCCCGCTAATTGAATGTTCATCCTGTTCGGCCCGCAATCTTACGTGTGATTTGAGTTTTGGCCCGCCGAGCGATAGAGTTTGACACCCCTGCCCTAAGGTGAATAGAGTAAAAGCTGCTTCTCTTTGCAACTAACTGTAAGCTGGGCATTTTTTTGAAATTCTGCACCGTGTCATGTTTAAATAGCGCCGCAATAGGCGAATAAATGGACGTTGGAATATGATTCTATAGACAAGACTTTTGAATATAAATCTATGGACAAGACGTCTGAATGTGATTTTTATAGACAAGAGGTTTGAATATGATTATATATAAACAAGACGTTTGAATACAATTCTAGAGACAATACGTTTGAAAATGAATCTATAGACAAGACACGCCAGTCGAACTAAGACCTTTCAGGATACTATATTGCTTGTTGTTTAGTAGGCCATACTTTGGGTTCTTGATGACATGTTTCTAACAACTGCAACTGTGCTTTGAAATGTTCTAACGTTCTGTGTGGCATTCAGCAACCTCGTGACATGACTTTGGAATCTTTGAGCAAACTCTGTGTGGATCAGGACATGGGTTGGAATGGAAAGTGTTGAGTCAAGTGATAGAGTTGGTACGGAATTCCTAGAAGAACTGAAGATCTTGAGAGAAATGAGTTCAGTACAAGTACAACAACATTGCAGTGTCTTCCACTTGCTTGCGCCGCTGGTAGAATCTTTTCCGAATATTGCGATTGTATACGCAAAATAATGCCGAAAGTGCCGGTAAACTGCAGCAAGCGCTAAAAGAAGTTTTACAAAATTAAATAAAAAAAAAAATAATAAAATAAAAAATAAAAAACAACTTGAAATGAAAACTTAATCAATGGAATAATAATAATAATAATAATAATAATAATAAGAGGTCTTATATAGCGCGGTACCCCAGCCTAGGGCTGGGCTCACCGCGCTGTATATAAAAATTTTTATCAAAAGAAACATAATCATGACATTAAAATAAAATACATTTATGAAATAAAGAACAGCAATGTATATTGACCCACCCCACCACATAAATTTTACAAGGCAAACCATGGACGGCAGTCAGCAAGATCGTTTATCGGTCAGAGGAGTTGAATCAGTCAGGGTAGTATCAACATTGTAAGTTAACAAGACATTTTGTTACAACTTTGAAGATGAAGAATGCATTTAAGTGTTTGCCACACAGGAAGCAAGAAATTTGTTTTTTTTTGTTTGCTAAAAGCCATATCGAGTATTTTTACTTGCATTTTTTTTTTTTTTTGGTTCAGGATTACAATCCTGTAGCATCGCAATCCTGTAGCATCGCAATCCTGAAGCATCGCAATCCTGAAGCATCACGATAAATTATTTTTTTTCTCTCCGCCTTTTTAATTTTTTTTTCTTTTCTTTTTTAAGATGAAGAATGCATTTAAGTGTTTGCCACACAGGAAGCAAGAAATTTGTTTTTTTTTGTTTGCTAAAAGCCATATCGAGTATTTTTACTTGCATTTTTTTTTTTTTTTTTGGTTCAGGATTACAATCCTGTAGCATCGCAATCCTGTAGCATCGCAATCCTGAAGCATCGCAATCCTGAAGCATCA